GTTAGTGAGTTGCTTCTTGAATCAGCCCAGTGATCAGCTGAAGATAACACGTTGTTATACTGTATAGTTCCCCTACTAAAGCGCACCCTCCCTCAGCTCTCCCTCCACTCGCTCTCACCATTCGTCTTTCCTTTTACTCGCTCAGTCCGCCCTCCTTGTGGACAGCTGGTGAGGAAATATCAGGCAAATGAGAGTTAAGACTTTTCACATGACTCGTAAGCATGTGCTATCCTGTGTGCACACCAAGTTTCACACATAGCAAAACCTATCACCTGCAGTTTTAACTTTTCCACATAAAGAAGTGTTTTTATCTCTTACGCTTTATTCTTTATTTTTCACAACTTGGTTTTCCAATCTTTGCAGACGTAAAGGCTCTTATTTTTTCCAATAACATGCAAACAAAGACAGTAGTCGTACAAATTGTATTGGATTAGGGTGAGGCTGGTGAGACAGTGTGAGAGACGGTTCTGGTGGGCTTACAGTCTGCTTGTGTTGCATTGTGGGATAGCCTCCATCTCCTATTCCCATTTGAGGTATCACATATCAGCCTATTGGAAAATGGATGCTCACATCAGGAATGCTCACTGAGAACAAGAACATTAGTGGTGGCAGTTAGTCTTTGGCAATGTTAATGAGGAACACTGCTTGCTTAGGTCCAAGGTCAGCTAAACCCTTGATATAATTGCTGGAACGAAATATAAAACACATTTCTGAGCCTCACTGCAGACAAGAACTAAACAGGAACTAAAAGTTATTTTGAAGCTGCTGTAAAAAACCTAATGATGACCATAGCATTCATTAATGTTTAGCAGACATAATAAAATAGTTTTCCAGTAAATGCATTAATACCCATTACTTGACTTTCATAGGACACAATGTAAATCATTCTGCTTTTTAAGGCTGTTTTTATTCTTGCCACATTTGGTCTGCTCAAACTGGACCAGTTTGTACCAAACTCCAGGTTCTTTTTTTTTTTTATTTATTTTTTTAGGTAATCTCCATCTTCTTTTAAAAGGACTCTGATGGGGTTTATAAATTATTCGGCTCTGATCCGACCCTACTACAGAAAACTTAATAGCAAACAGAAAACTTTGGACTGAACAACTCACAGTGGCAGTAAACATTGAACTGAAATCATACTGAATCCTTTTCTCTGACCCGCCCCTTTTATTATGGAATAGGAGAAAAGCCACAAATGAAGTTAGGAACGTCCCAATACAACTTTTTAATCTCCTATAGAATACCTTGTATGCAGCTTTGAGTTTGAGTTTTTAATCAATACAATATTAGAGCAAATCATGCTCTAATTTTTGCTTATTTTGTCGATTATATTAGTAAAAAAAGGCTTGATCAAGTGATTTCATTCAAGCAGCATATGGAACATATGTAAGAGAACCACTAAACCATTTTTTAATAACCAGTGGGTTGTTTAAACTTTAAACAGAACAGCAATGTTTCTATCAGCATGCTAATGTCAGAGATTTTAGATTTATATTCTGACATTAATTTTTGGCTGATATCGAACTGATATCAATGTCAGATCAGGACATAGCTTTTTTTTTTTAAAAGGTCATTTACTTGCAAAAACTACAAAGTGAAACAATAGTCTATTATTGGTCTGGAACAAAAAAAAAATAAAAGGCAATCAAAGGAATGTTGTGATCGGAAGGTTTTGTTCAAATTTCTGATTTTTTTATTTTTTTTATACACTTCACAAATGTCAACTATAGTTGATTCCTTTTTCTCTTAATTAAGGAACAATATTTTTTTGTTCCAACCTTAGCAAATGATTGGTTATTATTTCTGTCACTTGATTTCTACATTGTCTCTGAAAGATATCAATAAGGTAGGAAAAAGAGAGCATTTGCTCGGACGCAGTAAGCCTTGGTGTTGCCTTCTAAAAATCTTGCTCTCTCCTCTGTAGCCTAGATCTACCATCAGTGTATGTTGATGTCCTTTGCAATAACTTCTATTTTAACAAAATATTACTTTATCTCAAGTGCACATTAAAGTACTGCAGTCGCTGTTATTTTTTCTTAGTCAGTTCTAAATGATGTATTAGAAGCTTCCTTTTCCTTATACCCTCATGTCGGGAAGCCTGTATTTTTTGCAAAGGATGTTATTGTTTCATGTGGGGCTTGTTGTTATTAGTTGCTTTTGATATTTCATATTGCGCAAGGCAAGGCAAGGCAAATTTATTTGTATAGCACAATTCAGTACAAAGACAATGCAAAGTGCTTTACATGATTTAAATATAAGAAAATAAAACAGAATCTAATTGTATCATGAACCTATTTGATAAACCTGAAAGGAAAAAGTAAAGAACAAAAATTTATGATTGAATTAGTTAGTATGTTGCCAAATCTATTGAACCAAAATCAATAGATTTTGACTAACAAACAACATAACACCTGCCATCCATAGTTTTCCCAATGAAAGACTGTAGGTTGTGTTTAGAGGTGTCTCTTACCGCATCATTCCTCCAATTTGTGGAAAAATGTTTAATGGATGTAACTCTTTAATATTGTGCAATTAACAACCTGATTTATCATTCTTTTTTTTGGGGGGGGGGGGTTCAAAAATAGATGTGTGGATTTATATATAAATGTATTGATGATCCTTTTTTATCGTAAATCTTCCATTAGAGTGTATGTTGTTAAAAAAACATCAGCAGAACAGAAAATGTGGCCTACTTCATTCCCATCAAATTAAATCTCAACCTCTTTCCGTCTTTGTCTATTTCAAGGTTTCAGTCACAGTAAGATTAAAAAAAGATGAAAAATATATAGCCTTTAGGTTATTTTGTGGCTGTATTCAGTCTAATCCTTAAGCTTTTACTAAAGCAGAAGAGAGAAAAAAAACAGGCTGTGTGTTTGTGTAGGTGGTTTGCTTTGGGTTTGTGTGCTCAGTCTGCTAGATGTGGTTTCATCTGGAAGTACACATCAGCAGTATGAGATGCTCCCCCTTTGCAGCCTACAATTAGGGCATTTTTTTCCCTCAGTTTTTCACCTTCTCCGTCTCCATTTGGGCCACTCCGTGTCTGGGCTGCTGAGACACAGTCGGATGACAGGTCAGCAGGAAGGACTGCAGTATAACAGGAGCTGAGCAGAGCTTTACTCAACCGTCTGTCTGCTCCTACTCCATATGCTACCATCACCCTCGCACATAATGCAGACACACACACACACAAAGACACACCCTGGGACAGTCCAGTGCAAGAAGATGAGGGCGTTGGCTGCAGTGCACAATAGTTCGATGTCTGGACTGTGGCCTACGTGCATATTGGGGGTTCTGAGTGTTTGCTTTGGTTAGTAAAGAAAGGAGGCGGGGTAGAGGGGGCTTTGGGACCAATTTGCATCAACTGTTAACTGACTGAGTGTATTATCTATACGAGGCACCAGATATAGCATGCTTCTGTGGTGCTGGTAGTGACACAAAGAAGGACCAGTATTAAAATTTGGATAAAAGAAAAAAGGACTGATGGCTTAAATTTCAGTCGCCATTCACCTGTCAGGTTTCCAGTCTGAGAATATTTTTGGTAAATCTGTCCTGATTTAGTGGTATCTAGAATGTAATGACTTAGTGTTTTTAAGGCTACATGCTTTCTTAACAAGAATTAATTTGGATTAAAGTATTTCCACAGTCTAGATATTTGTTTTTGTACTTTTTAATTATGAAAATGGAAAAAAACAAGTATTTGCAAACTTGATTTTAATCTCTTCATTCACTCATCCATCAGTGTCTACACAGAAAACATTTTTAAGTGTAGCTCTCTAAACCATCTATGAAAAGTTCATGAAACATCATCTTTCTTGTTCCCCTTGGTTATAATCTGAAGTAGTCGTGTAAAACATCTTGCTTTATAATATGAGAGAAAATCATCAGTTTTCAAAGTTAAGTAATTTTTTTTTATTAATTCATCACATTCAGGCAGCTGCTGTTGAATTATGATTTACTGTAAATGTAAGGAACTAATTCAGTAGCTCTTAAGCTTTTTCATTTTAAGAAAATACTGAGAAGTTATATAGAGGTAAAGGTCAAATGATAGGGTGTTCTGAAAAGGTGGGAAAATATGTTAAAATAACAAATAAAGGTTTTCACTTTAGATGTAATTAATCTTTATAATGCACAATTTTTGTTTTCCAAAATAATTTGATAATATTATTTAACCTTTTCACTGTATTCTGCGTTATTTTAATGCACCTGATTTGATTTCCCTTCTGAAGTTGAAGAAAGAACTCCAACTTTGAGAAACAATGGTGTATAACATGCCTGCGGGGCATGAAATCCTCCCCAGGTGGTGACTGCTCATCCATTTATCTTTGTCTTTGGTTGACGAAAGCAGTCATAGCGTGTTTACATCAATGAGCTGCGACACGCTATTCTCTACAAGCCATCCCTCCATATAGGGTAATGCACACTCCAGTTTTTCTCAGGGCTTCCCTTCAAAGGCTCTCATTTAGTTAGAAAGTTATATATATATAGAGTTATTTGCTCCAGTTTTAAATGTCTGAACCTGTTGTTTTGAGTTGGCAGTCGGCCACATTCTCCTTTCAGGTAGATTTTAACCCAACCAACCCGGGTCTGACTCATGCTCTATGGTTCCTACTGTGGTGTGGTCTTTGGGTTGTTTTCTCTGTGTCCCGACCACCCTGCGTTTGTTTTTTCTACACTTTGGTTTTCATTCTGCTAAGGTTATACAATTACTTGAGATCAAGTAAGATCTTTTTGTTGAACCTCTTTTCTTTAGAACTTTTTATGCCCCTGTTAGTAACTTTAGCTGAACTAAACCACATGGCTCTCATGCTTCAACTCCTGAGCTATAGTTTTCCTAAATTTTCAACTCTACTGCAAGTGAAATGTAATGGTTTAAAGGGCTAAACTGTGTTTCTTGTTAGAATATAAAACTGCAGATTTACTCAAAGATGTTTTACATCTAAACATGGCTGATACTTCAACCTAACTTATCTGTATCTTGATGTTTCTTGTTTCATTTGCAGAATCGTGAGCTGCAGATCATGAGGAAGCTGGACCACTGCAACATAGTCCGCCTGCGTTACTTCTTCTACTCCAGTGGGGACAAGGTCAGTTTAAGATGAAATATTGTGTATCAATAATTCCAATGCAACCACTATATTAAGTGGAACTTCTTTGCTGTTATTTAGCTATTCTTGAAAATAAAATAAACCAGAAAATGTATATTTTTTAGGAATTCTTAAAAGTTTGTCTAAACTGATTTTATTTTTTGAATGATCAAACCAGTCCTAAGCCTGACTCCTGCCTTGCTTGATAAATTCAACATATTATACCATCTATCAGAAGAGGAAAGCCACCTCCTTTGTCTTGCTCTCTATTTCTGTCAGGCTTTAGGGGGTCTTCTGGAGACTGAAAGACTGGAAGGTGTCATTCAGCTGACTGACAAACAGGCCCACAGAGGTCTGTGTGTCAAATATAGACACACATGGACTTGGCACACATGCTGCAGGGACTATACCCATGACACAGCAGTTAGGAATGCTGCTCTGCAGCACACCTACTGAGGGTAAAGGAAAGCTCTTGAGGATTATTGGGTGGTAGGTTGGAGCTGAGGATTGGTGGGGACAAAGCTTATTTAGAGATGATTGTGTGAGGTGGTGGGACATAACTTTGGAAGGGTTGTTGGTTAATTATAGACTTACTCAAGCTGTCCCCTCTATCCCTTAAGCTCCACCTCAGTTTTCCCTCATACCTCATGTGCCCGCTGACCTCTGGGAGTACATGGCTAATATTTTATTTGTAGAGGCTGTTGTGTCAGAAACAAATCCCCTCCATCCTAAAATTATAGTTTTACTATAACATAAGAAATGTTTTTATTCCATCTCAATTTGATTTCTCACTTTCATCCATATATATTTCTTTCTGCTGTGTTGCCTTTTTCTGCTCTCATTTATTACTCCCTCTTTTTTCTCTCCTCATCAAATCACTGGGCTAATTATGGCGACTGGCACCGTGTTGTTGGTATGGGGACCTACCACCCATAGAGCCTACAGTGGGGAGAAATATGGGAGGGAGGGCTAGTGAAGTGGGGAAAAGTTAGTCACAGCTCAGGGTAGAGATGGAAACTTCCAGACAGGCTGATGGATGGATAGATGGGCTCTTTATTGAGAAGACCCTGAGAAGAAATGACAAGAGGTGTAGGTGTTGTACGAATGGTGAAGTGAGAGCTCATGCTGGACGCATCTTTCAGAGAGGCAAGTGTCAGACATGCAGCTACAGCTGCCACAGCTGTCATTATGTGCACAGGTAGTCTTATGCAATTGCTGACATGTGGCGGGCCCGAGGCACATGGTGTGCTTCAGCTTTTACACTTTAACCTCTTGTATAATACTATTTAAACTGAAGGCCATTGTTCCAAACAGCGTGGGCTGTAAGCAAATAGTTAGTTGACTTTTACCTCTTGAGAATAAGACTTTTCAAAGCAGCATTGAAGTAGAGCAGTCACTTCACTTTATCTGCTTCACAGAAATCATTTCAGTATACCTAAGAGTGAAGAGCAGCTTACAGTCACTCATCTCTATTCCCTAATGTACAAAAGTACTTAATGAAACCATGTTTTAGGTAGAAATAAGCAGATTTTTATATTTGTATGAATACATTAAGTTCAAAATCTTAGATTAAAGGGAGCTTTGCTAGTGAAACATTTCTCCCACTCTCATCGTTTCTGAATGGTGCTTCATCTCATCCCAAAATATGTGTAACTGTGGCAGAATTATGAATAAAATAATATGTTAAATTGCAGGTAAACATATTTTTGTATTGAACAGTACGATTCAGCACAGTTTTACCCCATTATCACCAATAATACAAACAGTGTAATTGTCCTGATGTGATATGGACATTAAATATTGATCTGATATCAGCAAAAAACCCTAATATCAGAAGATATCGGCCAGCATCTAAAAGCTCTGATATTAGCAGTTTATATATTAAAGGTTGTATTATCCATAATTTAATAATACGGGTGAGTTGTTCTCTTTTTGTTGTAATGTTAGTATCACATCTGATATCATATCCCTAGTTTAAACACAAAAGGTTGGCACCACTAAATAATTGGGAACAGTTTTATTTTTTTAAGAATCTGCCTTTTTCTCCAAAATCTTAAAAAAAATCCTATTCCTGACATTCTTATGATAGGTATGTCTGAGACAAAAGAATAGGGCTTTTCTGCAGTTTTCTGTTAATTTTTCAACACTCAGTTATAGAAATATTTGCACATTTGCAAACCTGTTAACATACCTCAGAGTTACAGCGTACTCTATGTTTAACTGGTTTGAATAGATACATTTGTGGATGAAGTAAGCAACTGTTACATAAAGGGGATGCTAAAAAATTATGATTACGATGAACTAGGGATCCACCAATACCAGATTTCTCCAACAGACATAAAAGTACAAATACTGACAGTTTAGAACTTATCAATATAAAGTACTGAAATGAACACTAAATAAAGCTTAGTTATGACAAAGGCTGTGTCCTAACATTCACCCTAACCCTAAATCCCTAAATCAGAGCAAGTCGACTTTATAGTGAACTCCGTTAACTGACCGTTGGGACAGATTATCACTACTTTTCACTCCCTGTTGATCACCTAACTCTGCCTCCCTGCGCCATGCATGCGCCATTTTTGCTTGTCGTCGCTCTCAATACCCGGCAGCGGGTTACTGTCACAACAAATCCAATGATGCTTTTTGAGGAGAGCTCTCTCAAAGTAGTGTGGAATATATCTGCTTGTCTATTTTCAAGGGATGATCACTACTTTTCAAGGTGCATTGTGGGTAATTGCGAGTCAACCACATTTTCATCCCATAGACATCCTGATACTCTTTTAAAATAACATAACCACTATATAGGGCCCTATTTAGTAATTAGGGTGGACGTTTGGACACAGCCAAAGAGTTTTGATCATATAGCCTAAACATTATTGGATTTTTTTCGACAAGCATCCAAAATCTCAGATATTTCAATGCTCATAGACTCTGTTTCTGTAACACATTGGTTAATACTATGAGTTAGTTGTTCTCGTATATGTTTTTAACTTTTGTTCTCTGACTTGGTAATATTACTTGATTAAGCCTTTTCTAGCATTCTACAGAAATAAAAGCATGCATGAATCGTGGTAATGTCGTTATCGGGTCAATAACGGACAATTATCAAAGTTGTAATATTGTTAACCTATCGTAAATGGAAAAGCTGAATCTGGACATCCCTAGCTACCCCCTCACTGCTGATATAACCCATTAACAGTCTGGTTGCTTCAACTCACGCTGTAGTTTAGGGTAGCAGCTACTCCCGTTGCCACTGCTACTGCCGCTGTTTCTTCTTGTTGAGTCTTGCCTCGATTTTATGCTGCATTACAGCCACTTACCTCATCTAATGGCATTTTGAGGGAGAATGATGTTTGTATCCATTTTTTAGTAACTGAGCACATTAACAGAAACAACTACATCTCATATTAATCCTGGGATCAGTGCATCTATATCATTTTGCTTTATTTAACTGTGGAAGTTGGGGGACTACTTCTGTTGTTTCCTTCTGCATTCAGTGGAGATAAAAAAAAAAAAGCTGCAAGAAGTCAATCTCACACAAAATCCAGAATAAATGAATCTCTTATTGCTCTTTGCCTTAAGCAGCCCAGCTGTATTACTGCCTTCTGCTCGCCTCTGTATGGAGGGGAATTTAGATTTTTCACTTGATGAACATAAAATGGCAGTTTTAAAACACAGCCATACCGGAATATGCTTTAATTACATTCTATAGCAGCCAACACAGTTAATACCATGTTTTACTATATTAATCATTTAATCCTGTAGCCATTTCATCCCTACTCCAAGAAGAAATGAAGCTGAAGAAAATCAAAACAAATGTATGTGAATAGCAGTGTGGAACATCTAAGCATAGAATATATAAACTCCCCTATAGTCTAGCTGCTTTGGCGTCTGAATGTTCCAATTCCTCCTAATCTAACGCCATTTTGCCCATCGCTAATATTTCAGCCTTTTAGAAGACCTGACACATTTTCAGATCGGATTATCAGCTATGCAATTATTTTTAGCTCATCAGGATGGTGCAGTATTTTACATAAATATGTTTACTAAAGCACCAAACTCAAAACGTTTGAGTCATAAAGAGCCTGAGTCATGATAACAATGTGCTTATTTCATACCAATTTAGATTTGCCGTCTCCTAGAAAAATACATTTGCAGAATATCACTGCAATTATTGGAGTAAAATAAAAATAGAGGCATGAAACTTAACAGCTCTTTTCCAAGAGTATTTTTGATAAGGAAGAGAACATAAGGAGGTAATAATAGTAGTTGGTTGTTTATGATTTCATCTAGCAAGGAAACACAAATAAACAGATCAGCTCTGAGCCAGTAGTAAAATGTATGGGATGTACAGAATGGGCCAGGTCTAACTTTCAGGAGAAACAACACCATTTTTTTTTTTTATCGATTTCCTTTCCTTTCAAATATGCCAAAAAGTATCAATACTTTCTCTGCAATAATAATAAAATAAGCTGTTATTTAGCATTGCAGCAAACACATCTTTGTTTAATGCATGAACTTCTGTTTGCTTGTTTCAGAGCATTTTGGCTATCTTAAGTTATTTGCCTAAAGATTTGCAGGTTTCTCAGATTCTCTGTCTGATTTGAGACAAGAACTCAAATTCTTCAGTACTCAAATGTTCAAATTACCTGCTGTTAAAAAAACAAAAACAGAAAATAGCCATATTGTGGTTTAAAATGAAGGGTGATGCCATCAAGTTTATCCCCTCCCAGCCAGTACGTGGCAAACTCCATTCAGCCCTTGTAAAAAAAAGTTCATTTTTCAGCTCTATAACAGAGCCACAAGGATCTGGTAATGCTGAGCTCTTGCATTCCTGTTGTTTCATAATTCTTTTGTGTAAGCTAATTACTTATAATAAGACATACTATATATCTTTTACAATAAAATTACACTTTTATTCTGCACGATTCTAAAATTATTATTTTTTTTTTATATCAAATAGTTTGATGAAATTGTTGTAGCCATCACTGATGAGATTAAGTCTACCATGGCTTTCGATGAATTTGGGGTTTACTATAAATTTAGTCTTTCCCACAAACACTTCAATGTGTGAAATAGGTAAACCTGCACCTTTCAGATTACCAGACCCTAAGACACCATCACCGTCATTCAACAGATTTTCTTTGCTTCAATCACTCCAAACAACTTAATTTTGATCAAAGAATGCCTTAAAATCAAGCTTGCACATTTTAATTTTTCTCTAAAGCAGCGGTTTTCTAAACTTGGCCCTCTGGAACTGCTATCCTACATGTTTTAGGAGTCTCTGTTTTAGCACACCTGAATCAAATTTTTGCATTACCTCGTTAGCGGCTACTAAGGCCAGGCAGTTCCAATTTTATTCAAATCAGGTGTGTAGAGGCAGAAACACAGGTCCAAAATATATTTTGAAAACCACAGCTCTATGCTGTGGCCTTCAGAAAGCCACGTTCATCCCTCAGCTCTTAGTCTAGAAACCCACGCAGATGTTAATGCACAGAGCAGCACTTCCTTAGGTTAATCAGTGAGGTCCAGCAAAGCTGGTAGAGGTGGAGAAGGATTAACTTTTAGACATATAGAGACAGATTAAATGCCGTGTGAGACATACTGTGTCTTTTCCACTAAGCCACATTGGAAGCTTCTATATTAGAATGTGACAAAGTGCCGATTCACTCCTCATCAGTCCTTCTGTCTGTCCTCATAATCTCACCTTCATTATTAACATGTACTGCCCTGCTCATTTATCTAATGGATTTGCGTATGCTTCCTAAAAGCTGACCTATAGAATACGTGTGAGCTTATGACATGAAGCACAAACCACACCTGCTTAAACAGGCTGTTCAAACCGTTCATCATAAGACACAGATTCCACCCAGGATTCAGCAAATTGGAACTAGATATTTTTGTTTCATTTCACCCAGTTGTTCAGGTGGATGTGTTGTAATTTAGCTAGAAAATGGTACAAGGAGCCAATCCAGATTCTGCATGGCAATCCCTCTGGGAAGAAGCCAAGGAAGTAGCTTTGCAGTGAGGCAGGAAGTGAGTCATTGCTGTTGCTAGGCTAAATATAGCATTGATTGCGCTAGCAGGAGGCGGAACATGCTCCCCAGCCGTCACAAATGCTATCAATGGGGGAATGGCTGCAGACTGGCATGCATGGCTCGGGAGGAGAAAAACTCACTTCCAAGAAGTGAAAATGACTGTAGAATAATGTGTGTATTTAGTAAATGGTTGTCTTTTCTGTATCTGACTGTAGTAGTGATTCCCTTGAGCCAGGCAGATCACATCTTTCTATCTATGTAGTGGAAGTTAGCTCCTCGCAGATCATTGTGTTATAGGAGGTATTTTCTGGTTCTTTAAGGCATTCCTTAAGGATTTCCCCATGTTATTTTTTTCTGTAGTTCTCTACCTGCAGAATGTTGCTGCAGTTAAACAAGCCAAGATGCTCAGATTTCCCAGCAGTATTGATAATAGTTTGACAGCACAATCGTCAAACTGGTGCAATGTTGATTTCTGTTCCAACAATTTAAAATGCTGGAATCTATATAAAAAATAAACAGTTTAGCTGGTCACAATCTGCTTCTCTATGACCTCCAGGATTCATATGAAGATACAGAATAATAAGCAAGGATATATAAAACACCTATGGGTTGTTTGTAAACAAAACCTCTACATTGACATTCACAATGAAACAACTTTGACTAGGACCATATTGCTGACTGCATCTCTGCAGAGTTTAACTCTTACAGCCAGGTTAAAACATCATCTAGACTAAAACATATTCTGATTATTATGTTTGAGGTAAATTACTTAATTTATTTTCCTTTAGTTTTTCCTTATATGCGAGTCTGAATATTGTAGCATCACATAATTTTTTTTCTTTATTTACAGCCCCTTGTCTATTTCCCCCTATAACATTTTCTTTTAACTACAAAGCAGCAGTAAAGAGAAGTCTTGAAATTCAATGCCAGCACCTTGTTTAACCTGCTTTTTGTAATGTGTTCCTGTTACCACAAGGTGGCAGTAATGTAGATTACCCTGCAAAAACTGCAGCATTGCACTTAAATATATATTTATTTGCATTCTTTTAATGCAGTTAATGAGTAATATTTGGTACCAACCTTTTCAAATTTTATAGTATTTTGGCAAAAAAATAAAATAAATGTCCTTACCCACATTAAATGTTATGCTTTATAAAAATGTAATAAACCAATTTAAGTTATTTCAATCAAAATAATTAAGTAATTGTTAGTGCAAAATATACATTATAGAGTGGGAATCTTTCCTGAAGACCATATTCTATGTGGTCTGTATTATTTTCCTAAGCTATGAGTGATTACTAAGTGATTTTCTAACTTCAGATGAATTTTTACAATTATTGACCCACATAATTGATTAATTTGAGCAAGAGAGGACATTTATGTCGCAGCAGCACCCTGAGCTGACAGAAGTTACCACAGATCCTGGCCAGAGGCTGTTGTTTGTATATAGGGCAGACTGATGTGTTCCTTTCAGAGCTGTTAGTACATAGAATACTATGAAAGACAGAGACAATGAAGGCGATGGGGACCCCTGCTGTCCTGTTACCAACTGTTTCAGGCTAAATCATGATTTGCAGTCGTCATTTAAAAGTCTCCATCTATTGTCTGGTGGCTTAATTTTGTCCACATCAGGTTGCACACGGAGGCGAAAGGAAGTCCTGGGTGGAGAACTCCTCATATACACACACATACACACACACACACACACACACCCTGCAAACCAACACTTGCTTCTTTCAAACCAGGAAACAAGGCAATGATATCATTGTCCATGGCCGCTGTTAAAGCCGAGGATGTTGTGACGCACCATTTCCTGCCCTCCGGGACGATACAATGGATTCCCATTAAGCTTCTGAAAATGTGTTACGTCAGCTTGTAAATGGCAGTACAGATCATTTTAACAGGCTACCAGTATGTGCCTCAATTTGATCTTATGTTTATATTGGTATTTAATATTTGCTTTACTAGTTTCAACCAAGGTTTCCCTGTTTTTCTTCTGTTCAATAGAAAGACGAGGTGTACTTGAATCTGGTTCTGGACTATGTTCCTGAGACGGTCTACAGAGTGGCCAGACACTACAGCCGAGCCAAACAAACGCTGCCCATGGTTTATGTTAAGGTAAATCAAACAGAGTTTGTGTTTTCATGATTATTATGACAAGAAGAGAAGCTTCTTCTTCTTGGATCCTAAATCTCAGATGTTCTTTTTATGACCTGTTCCAGTGTCATTCAATAATCTAATAATAAACATTTGTTTATTATTTGTTAACCCTTTTAGGCAAAGATGATTTCATTTCCTGTGAAATGATCCAAATCAGTTGATTTGAACAGACTAGACAGCTGTAACCTCTCAAATGATGAAATGTGTCTCGTTCATCTCTGCAAAGCGCAGTTAAAAGTGTGCTTTAAAAAAATGACAGGATGATAAAATGAACTGAGAGAAAAACCTCCCTATGGCAGGTGTCTGCTTGTTGTGCAGTTGTAACCCATCTCTGTCTTCCTCCCTGTAGCTGTACATGTACCAGTTGTTCAGGAGCCTGGCTTACATCCATTCGTTTGGGATTTGCCATCGGGACATCAAGCCCCAGAATCTGCTGCTGGACCCAGAGACGGCTGTGCTGAAGCTCTGCGACTTTGGCAGGTGAGACACACAGAGCATTTTGTTGTCTCCTTAAAAAACATAAATATAGATCAAAATATTTTCTCTCTTCCGTTTTGCATCTTTCATGCGATTTTCTTTCTGTTTGCTAAAAGCGAACAGAATTCCTGGTCAATTATACATCAGAAAATCTAACTTCTAATCTTCCTTTTACTTCATCAATTCCAAAAAAGTAAAAAAAATCAACAATCAAACAAGAATCCACTGGACATTTTACTTCCCATCCAGGAAGCTTTCTCAATTAAAAATGTCAGGAATAGCGTTGCGTTTGAGGCTTTATTGAGTGGGCCAAAACAAAGTCTTGTTTTTGGTTAGAAACATTTAATTCAGTTTATTTGTATGACGCCAATTCACAACACAAGTTATCTCAAGGCACTTTACAGTTCAACCAGATCATACAGTCAAATTGATTCAAACATGCAAATTGATCCTGACGACCGTTTTCGCCCCTCTGGAATGGGGGTCGTTTGGGTTCTTTGTTAGTCTTTATACCGGACACCTATCTACAGTATGTCTCTGCAAGGGGGTCGTTGGAGGGAATTGTTGGCCTGGCTGAAGAGGCGAGGTGCTCTGTCCCCCTGTAATGTGGTGGGGGCTGCGATGATAGTGAGAAGGAATCAACTCTATGGCTGAATTGCAGGTTTTTGAAAGCTGAAATCTGAGTCCACACCCTCCGTTTAGGTTTTCTTTCTTAACATAGATGGCTTCCTTCAAGCCCCTCTTCCTTCATCAATCTTTCCCTTAACTTGTATGCATAAGAACAGCTTCTTTTAATAACAGTTTCATCATTGCTGCTCATCTGCGTATGTTAAACTATAGAGACAGTGTGAAGGTTTAAATTGATCTGCCTGTTTTATGCCACTGAGTCGGCATTGGAGTCAGTCACAGAACCATATTGGCATTAAAGTGTGAAGTGGGGGGGTCGATGGTTGCAGCACGCCGCTCTAATCAACAATGATGTTGTCACTCATCTGAACACGCAGTGCAGACTCCCCCTCTGCAAGTGCTGGGCTCTGATCGAATTGTCAGTGTCAATTTAATTTCTAAAGCATTTTGTTAACACGCAGAAGCTTCACAAAAATGCCTTATGTTATACTTAAATAATTTATGCTGAACTCGGTTAGAATGAGCTGTACTGAATAAATGGTTATAAAGTCATTGGAAAAAGACACATTAGTAACAGTCTAGCTGTCAAGCTTGGTTTGAGTCGTGTGCCTGGAGAAGTGGTTCACATCAGAAGAAAAAAGTTTAAAAACGTAAAATTTAGCTGCAGACAGTTTGTTAAAGGTTTTCTATCTAGTTTTAGTTCATTATGTTAAATGCTTATTAAATCTGTGTAGAAATTTTTTTTTTTGCTGTTCTGTCATACATGGATGTTTCATATCATCAACATGAAACAGACAACACAGATAACCAGACAAACCATGAAATTAATTATATAAATCAGAAAGCCCATTTTCTTTTTGACCCTGGATTCTTGGACTTGTAAAGTATTATTATTTCTGTGACGTTAAAAAGTAAAATAAGGATATTATAATTGGAAAAGGTTTGGGCTTTTAGTAAGATGTAACGCTATTAAGAGCTATTTTAGTGCTAAAGCTTTGTTATTCTTTGCTTCTTACTGCAGGATTCTCCACAACAGGGGGCAGATGTATCTAACTACCGTATATAAAACCAGATCTCAGTGGTTTCATGTTCTTTGTTTTCCAAAAGAGAAAGTAGTGATGCTAATGGTTTAGTGTTTTTGTTCTATCTGCAGTGCGAAGCAGCTCGTCCGTGGAGAGCCCAATGTGTCCTATATCTGCTCTCGCTACTATCGGGCCCCAGAGCTCATCTTCGGAGCCACTGACTACACCTCCAGCATAGGTAGGAGTACCCCTGGTGTCACAGACGGCATCAGGGATCGTAGCATGACCCATCTAGAATGTGCTGTGGTGTCTGACCCGTTGTTTTTCTTGTTGTTGATGCTCCTTCTCCAGATGTGTGGTCAGCTGGGTGTGTACTGGCAGAGCTGCTGTTGGGACAGCCCATCTTCCCTGGTGACAGTGGGGTGGATCAGCTTGTGGAAATTATAAAGGTAAGAAGCAGGCTGATATACCAAAAGGCTCGTTACGTTAAAGATTTCAGGTCATTGAGGTTAACACCTCCCCATTTCTGCTCAGGTTCTTGGTACTCCGACCAGAGAACAAATCCGTGAGATGAACCCCAACTACACTGAGTTCAAATTCCCCCAGATTAAGGCCCACCCTTGGACTAAGGTGAGTCAGCAGGTACAGCAGCACTTTTACTTCTACGTTCTACTGCTGCCATATCCCATATATTTGTGTTATGCCATCCTAACAATCATCCATCTACCCATCAAAGTTGCATGATAATATATATCAGCTCTTCTATGAGCTGTCTGGACTTCACTCCTTGTTTTATTCTGTTATTGGTACTAATCTTGTGTTTTTGTAGTTGCATGTTTAACATTGTCATATATCTGATTGTGTGACACCAATTGGCCATTTAATTAGGTACACATTTCTGGTTGTGGGTTGGATCCTTCTTTTTGGCTACATTAATGATATAAGGTTTTATGCAGATTTCTTGTCTGCACATCCATGATTAAAAACTGCGCCCAGTCTGACACAGTTCACATGGTTCTAATGGATTTAGAGCTGGTGACCATGGAGGCCATAAGAGCTCAGTGTAGCGCTGGGTTGAAATGATATAAACTCTCTGACATGGTGAAATATTCAGCTGGAAGAAGCCATCAGAGAGTGTGGTCGTTAAAGGGGTGGGTACTTTGATAAGCTGCTGGGTTTTAGATTGTGCTTGTTTTATACTAATGTACTTAAAGCGTGGAAAGGAAATATGCCACACCATTACATTACCAGCCCGGCTCATTGACAAACAGCTGGATGGATGTTTGCTTTAATTTCCTTTTTTCCAAATTTGGACCCTACCATCTGATTGTTTCGGGTGAATATATTACTCTTTCATCAAGGCAACATTTTTTAATAATAGTAATTTAACTTAATGGATCTCACAATGGAGAAATTAACTCTCTGAATTTAACCCATCCCCTTGGGGAGCAGTGGGCTGCCATTGCGCGGTACCAGGGGAGCAGTGTGGGGTTAAGGGTCTTGCTCAGGGACCCAAAGTGCAGGCTGGGAATCGATCCAGGTACTTGCAGCCTTCCAAGAGCACAAGCCAACCACTCTAGAACAACATTCCCTAATATTCTATTTATCTTATTGTCCAGTTTATGCAGCCTCAGTTTCCCTTTGCTCTCAGGAGCAGCGACTAGATGTGGCCCTCTGCTCCTTTAGCCCATCTGCTTCAAGGTTCCATTATAACATGATTATTTTAGCCCAAACAGGTGTCACATTATCTGTGAAAATCCCAGCAGGTCAGCAGATTTTAAAAAACCTCCATCAGGCTGCCTGACAACACGAACCATGCCACATGGATATCTAATTCACTAAGTTGCAACCATGTGGTTGGCTGAATTGCTTCATTTTTTAAAAGAAATCAAACAGCTGTACCTAATAAAATGGCCAATGAATGTTTTTGCTTTTATATTAAGCCTGCTTTCTTGCTCATTTTTTTAGCTGTTTTGGGAAATCAGTAGCTTTTATATTAGCTGAGTGCAAAAAGTCTTAAATCATTCTTAATGCCTTAGCATAGCAGTTTCAATGAGGTACACTCTATAAAGGTTAAGTGTTTTTCACATTTCTTTCCTCAGACTTTCTAAGGCTACATTCACACTGCAGGCCTTAATGCTAAATTCTTATTTTTTTGGGAAATTATGGTTTTGTGTGGTCGTTAACATTTCCAAATATATGTGACTTGTATGCAGGCTTACAGCTAGCAATGTGTACGACCGAAAATGTAACGGCCTTTATTAAGAAAGGACAAATTATATGCCCTGTTTTCCCCCTGGAAACGTCGCCCAAATGTAAAAAAATTTCACAAGCAGCTGGAGTTGGAAAAATGAAACTTTTGCAGCTCGACGCGCCACATCAACCAATCAGAGAAGCTGATCTGTGAGCTGGCAGGGAGAGAGACAGCGCTGTGATGCAAAGTGCTGTGATCACTCCTCTGAAACAGTTTATTAATGCCTAAATTAAATAAAAATGTGAAACCTGTTGGCAAAATACTTTCACTTTTAGTATTCTGGTGCTTGCAGTTTGTACGACATACCGGAAAAACACTTACATCTACTTCCAGCCACCACGTAGGTTTGTAACAAAAACAAAAAGTTAGCTGCCTTCCACCTCCAGATAAAGGAAATGGCTGTTCAGAGACTCTACATTTCAAAAAGATGTCATACATCAAGCTGTAAACCCGATGAAATATTCCTAGCTAAAGGCCTGCTTGTATGTGATCTTCTGTGTGAACTGCATTTATGCAGCCCAACATTCCCTCGTGCAGCAGTAGACGAAGCAATGACGTCACACATACACATACGAATCTTATCATGCATTGTACTGCTTGAGTGATCTAGTGATCTTTCATTTCTTTTCCGACCGGAGCCAGCACATTAACAAAGCAATCTTTTCAAGAAGATCAAAAAGAAAGACTGCTCTCGGCATTGTCGTCCGTCAATAGTTTTTCTTTCTGCTTCTGAGTTGCAAGACAGAGAATAGGGTCCTTTGTTGAGTATTAATGATGATCAGGTCAGATGAATGCGACACAGGTAATATTTGAATAGATCAGATGCGTATCGAATTCAGGACCACATTTTAAGCATTCGCATTTTAAAAACTGGATCTGTGTTGTTCGGGCTGTCATAAAAATATCAGATACAGGTTGCGTATGGCCAAAAAAATTGGATTTTGGTCACTTCAGGCTACAGTACGATCATTAAATATTATTTAAAACTAACAAGGTTCTGCTGTTTAAAGACCTCTTATATAGTAGATATTTAGGTAAACGATGATGCATCTCTCAGCCATTGTGTCAGATTTTTTTGTTCAATAATGGCTCTGTGATAAGTTTCAGAATTGGTTAAGATTTAATACTGGTTTCCTTGAACTAGAAAATCTGGAAAAGTGTGACGTTTGGTCTTTCTCATTTTAAAGTCTGGATAAATATGGGAATCAGAAAAGCTAGCATAGAACAAAGCATCTTAGTTTCTCAATTTATACTATTCCAATTGAAATAGTTGATCATGTCAATTGATACAGGTATTACTTACATAAAAATTATGGGAAACCCAAATTTTACTGTACTATACCACAGTAGCACACAGAGTTAATGTGCCATAGAATGTAAAATATTAAGGTCTTCTATATACACTTTTCTTAAGTCCCTGTCACACCATGGCGATTTAGCCCATGTACGCCTGATATACAAAAAATCTGGCAAAAACACTGGCATATGTTGCACAAGTTATGGGCCAGTTTTGTTTAAGTTATTAGCAAGCTAAAACACACTAGCACACGTCGACAAACGGTAAATACGTCTTGACCTATGCCAGCGTATGCTCATACGTGGGCCATAAATGATCTGATCGTTAAAATAATTTAAGTGTAAGTTACTCCTAAGTTGTGCCGTCTAGCTTATCCAAAACCTATGAGTAACTTGTGCTTAACTTATCAAGAACTTATGTCCAACGCATATCAACATATTTGACGTGTTCCAGATGACCGCTGAACTTACAGCTGCTGTATGATGGTGTATTGGCAGTGTTTCTGTATAAAATGGGGTTCACAGGAGGGAACTGTCAGTTCTCCTCCAGACTTCATCCCCAAACTTCCTTGCGGACATGATGCTTAATCTGCTGCAACTGCAAACCTTCTCTCTTTCTTTCTTGGTAAACAGCAGTCAGGTTAATACCGTAATAAAATAATTCTTTTTATGCAGGCCGGGCGCCTCAGGGCGCATTGCTGCCCCCCTCAGGACACTGGCTTCATGGGCATTACGCTGCCATGCTTTATGCATATAAGTTAGGCTGTCGTTGGACATAAGTTCTGGACTTGTTATGAAATTGAAAAGATACATACAAAGTTCAGCATATGCTAGCGTTTTGGGAGATTCTAGGACATCAGGCATACGCTGTCTAAAGGCTGGTTTATGCTCAGAAACCAGGTTGTCTGCGTGTGTGTCGCAGTTAATTGAAGTATGCCCCCGCCCCTTCCACAACACTCTGCTGCACCTCTCCATTGTAGGTAACTGCAGACAGTATTGCAGACAGGAGGCCTCTGATTGGTCAAATCTACATCCGCTCTACTCTATGCGTATTTCCTGTTTGTTATCTTACCAGCTTGTTTTGTTTGACTCGTGAAGATGGACCAGCTAGAAGAGCGAGGTGCACGAGAACGCTGGGATCCTTTTTCCTCCTGGACCCCTGCTCTTTATCACCCTCATGTCCCTCCCTTGTGTTTTCCCAATTCCTCACCGCCTCAGCCGTATCTAGACTTACAGCTAGTTGGTGATTGACCCTCTTGCGTTGTGGCATTAAATAACATAGCACAGACCACGCTTCAAAATTGGGCATAAATCAAAAATATTTGCAACAAGATCACTGCGACACACTGCTGCGGGAGAATAACCAGCCCTTAAATCGTCAAGGTGTGACATGGGCTTTATAGTCTAGATTTCATAGTTCCTATTTCTAGATAAAGTAGGGCCACCATTAAGCAAAATGAGATTAAGTATTTAAAATCTAGAATGAAGATAAACAATTGTTTACATTGGAAAAAAAAGTTTATCCACTTCATATTTTTTCTACTTGTAAATAATTCCAAACATAAACCTCACATAATTTTTCCCTCTGCTGATTAGTCCTAGCTAAGGCTCTTTTAAGGTGGATTTCTACTTCTTCTCATAAAACAACCCCAGTCTTAACAATGTCTCTTAGCTTTTTAAAAGCATTGTCTTATAAACATTTAAACTGCTGATCAGTTCACCATACATGCTTATTTACAAAGGTTATGGTTTCTCTACCCTTAACATTTAGTTTTCCTAAACTAATGAGGCATATCTGAGCCAAGTTAAAATCTAACAGGATAGAATATGATTCCTAAATGACATTGGAATAAACTGCTGTTTTTTATTTAATTTTTTTTATTATTCAGATCAGAATTATAGCATATCGATTGGGTTATATACTTTTACAGAACAAATGGCATGATTCATTAAAAAGCTCATTGCTCATCAGCTCTGTCCATACAGAGAGACTGAGACCAAAACCATCCATAAAATGTCTTTGTTCTTTAAGAGATGTGCTGTTTCTATTAGTTATCTTTATATTTTTTGTATTATGTATTTATATTTTTTTAGGTGTGTTACTGATAAAAACCTGGACTATTTAGTTGGTAAAGTTGATTTAAAAATGAAAACAGTGAGACACCAAAAAAACTAACTTCAAACAGTTGGATATTAACCCTGTAAAAATCTAATATATCAGAGTGACATCCCTTCTACATAGGAAAAATATCTCTGAAAATGTTCAGAAAAATTACTTTGCTAAAAATATGTCTGAAAATATCTCTTGTTCAGAGGTAAAAAAAAACATTTGAAGACTCAGGAAAATTGATTGAATCGATAATTAAATGCTTTATGCACTAAGAAGTTTGTGTTAATTGTAGAATGTATCCAGTCTTAATAATTTTGATCCGTTTATGTACTGTCCTTTGAACAAGAAAAACACTTGTAAAGCTTAAAATAAGAGCTTCCTTTTAGATTGAGGTTTTTTGTATTTAGTATTATTAGCCACTAAAAGCAGGTGGCGATAGAGAGGTTTGGACATAGGTGGGTGAAGTTGTTTGGAACAGCAGCTTCTTCACAGAGCTGGTTTCCATGCATATGTCTAGGTTGCAACAATGTGGTTAGATGTAGCTTGATGAATGAACAATTCAATAAATGTATCCAATAATTTGTTGTACCATTACATATAGCTAAATCAAAATACCATAGATATATAATAACTATTTTTTTAAACAAGTCATAAAGTGAGGTCTCAGTTTTATTCTTTAGCTGTTATATTTTATCTCAGTGTTATTTTGGATTTTAATCTGTTTTTGAATTTTTGAATGTATAATTTTCCTTAGCACTTCTATTTTTGTATTCAATCTAGAGCTGCACTTATAAGTTATTAGTTATAAACTGATCTATAAATTATCTATTTTTTTAATAATCTAAAAAAACCAAAATAGTAATTTAACAATTCATTTATAAATATACACAAATACATTTTTCCTCTTTAGCATTTGCTATTTATTTTGTTTATTTAGAAATGCTAATTTAATTAAAGTATTGCTTTTAAGTGTATGGATTGTTCCAAAAAAATAATCAACGGATCAACCAATAAATCAAATAATTGATTAGTGCTGACCTATTTTTGATTAGTAGTTCACTTTGAAAAATTTAATAATGGCGATTTTCATTAGGCTCAAATTTTTTATGTTGGAAGCTTATATTCTTTTTTTTTTTTTTTTTTAAAGGTTTAATGAAAACTCTTTTGAGGGGGAAAAAAAACATTATGAAAGTTATACATTAGAACAGAAGATGCATATATGTTTGAGAATTGAAACAAAAAGAAAAAATATATTTTTTACTTACCTTTGTTTGTAAATTATGTGAGAATAGTTATAACAAATAAACTAAATGAAATAAAAATAATTTACACCTTAATTCATTTTAGAGAGGAATGCATGCATTTAATGTAGGGATGTTTGCCCTAAATTAGGTGAAGTTTAGGATTATCTAGTTTTAAATGTAAGAAACTGAGAAAAGCTGACTCTGGATTAGGGCTGGAGGATATAGCCTCACATTAATATCACGATAAATTGGGCAGTTTTACCCCGTTAACAATAAATGCACTATAAATTCTCCATCTCCTTCATTAGAGATAAAGGCATGTGCAGGAAATGCAACTGATCTATTTATAATTTATTTATAAAATAAATCACATGACATATTACTTTCATTTTAATACAAAAATTTTGCTCACATTCAGGTTTAAACATTCAACAATGTCTCATTGAACAGGAGAAAAAATGTTTCCTCGCTTGTGAAAATTTTTGTGCAAAGGTAATGGAGCCTTTTGCACATCTTTGAACTCAACAGCGTGGCTGTGCTGTAGGTTAGATGTCTTACTTTGGTTAGTCTCCACAGTTTTCAGGCTCAATATCTATGGCGTAATTTTTGCGACACCGAACTGAGCGTGCAGTGAGAACAATATGCATCGTTTAAACTCACACACCCTCGCTCCAAACTGTTCTGCCATGTTTTCAACTCTAAAAACGCACTCTTGACTTCTTCTCTGCGCACTCAGCTTATTCTCTGCTCTTGCTCGGCTCCATAGGATTAACTGGTGTAGGCTGAGTTTGAATTCATGGGCTGTGTCCCCCGAAAGCCAGATGTGTTGGCCGATTACGTCATAGGGCGGCGCTGAGGTGTGTTCGGCCTGCAAGACTCCTCGTTACGTGGCCGACAAATGCGTCCCTCTTTTTGCCCGATTTGAAGGACGGGTCAGGTGTATCCTACATAGCCTTTGATATCCCATGATTCTTTGCGAGTCCAAGCAAGCCGGCTGCTCCCTGCTCAGAGGAAAACGGTACTTGGTGCCAAACAGTGGTGAATATTGGAAGTGCAGTTTAATATAATACAAGTATGGGAATAGTTCCATCTGAAAAAAATGAAAATAGTTGTTTTAAATGGTTATTTAGTCAGATATGTGGCGATAATGTTTAGTTTATTTAAATATTTTTATCCGTAAATGGGTTTCTCATTTAAAGTCGTAGGGCAGTCATGTTTATTATCCAATCATTCTGGCTTAAACATGTATATAAATGTACTCTTTAAAAGACTATATTGTCCCAAAATTTAGAAAAATGTCTTGATTTCTAAAATCAAACACATCCGTAGTTTCTTCTACAGCTGTGTCAGACGCTTCACTGGGCTCATCCTCTTTATTTACGCTTCTGATTGGATGGGTGGAGTCATGTGATTGTACACATGCTGCAGTGTCTTTAAAGGGGAGGGAAACACCAGCCACAAGCACACACAGGCAAAACGGCTGAATTACATTTATTTCTTTTAACGACATGGGAATATTGTCGCCAGTTATCATGGTGAATGATGATAGTGCTAAAAATCCACTTTATCTCCCAGGCTTACTCTGGATATGAATTTCTACCCAAAATAAAGGGAAGCAACCTTGTTTCAGAGCCCTTTGTTGTCAACATACTATCAACATGCAAGCTATGCTTTAGAATGCGAAGCCTTCCTAAAATATTACAAAACAGTTTCAAATTTCCTCTTTCAGCATTACCGTCTTCGTGCTCCCAGATGTGTTAAATCCATGAATATGATGAACAATCTTAACACGCTGCTGCTGTCTCCCACCGTTGTTCAGGTCTTCCGACCTCGTACGCCTCCAGAGGCCATCGCCCTCTGCTCTCGCCTGCTGGAGTACACGCCCACGGCGCGCCTCACCCCTCTAGAGGCCTGCGCACACTCCTTCTTTGATGAGCTGCGTGACCCCAACATCAAGCTGCCTAACGGGAGAGAGAAGCCCTCACTCTTCAACTTCACCACCCAGGGTATGCTCTAACCAATATGCTAATAATCTGAAGGCATTGAACTAACCCTTTCAGATTTATATATATATAATTTTTGTTCAAATCATCCAGACAGAACATGGTTAAAAGATTTTTTAATCTAAGGAAATTTAGCAGATTTTATTAAAACACTGACATCCAGAATTCTCTCCTCCTGGATGAGCATGTGGACAGATGTTTGCATTGTCTTAAGTCTGTAGCAATCCATCCAGCTGTTATAAGTCCATATTTCTTTGTAATACTCTGTTTTGTACAAACGTCTGCTTTTTTATTTATCTCCTTTGATATAAAAACCTCACACACTTTAAGGTTTTCCTATGCTTTGAAGATTATTTTTCTTGCTCATTTCTTCTACCATGCGTATCTAATCCTGTATCAAAATTTTGGAATTAACCAGTGTTTTCTGTTTTTTATGGGTGCTGCTTCAGAAAGTGTTGCTCTTTAACACCTCTGAGTGTCTCCATTGTCGAGAAAAGCTGTGCTGCAGCATGACCTTATACCTTCTGTTCATTATCTTTCAGAGCTCTCTAGTAATCCCTCACTGGCCTCCATACTCATCCCTGCCCACGCCCGCAGCCAGGCTGTAGCCGCGACACCAACCAACGCGTCTGCCAACACAGGTCAGAGCCACGCTTTGTTCTTTTTTCCTTTTTATTTACCGCTTAGAAGGACTTATTTATGGCTTATTGTTGTTTGAGGGGTGGGAGTCATTTGTGGAGTTTAAAAGCAGTTTAATGTTCATCAGATTTTAAAATGACGTGAATCTATTAGCTTCTGTTTTTGCGTTGAATTACTGAATTCATTTAACTTTTAGATTAAGTCCTAATTCATTGGTATGCATCTATTAGCTAAGTAGATCTTAATTGTGAAGGAAGGGCACAGATGTTTACTATGTTTTGATCCTTTGTTAGAGCCTCTGGCTATTCTTTATATTTAAATTGTTGGCCTCAGTATATTTCAGAATTAGTGCCTAAAAATAGCATCTATTCGTGATTTTCGCTCTATAAAAATATAAGTATTGATAAACAAAATGTATTAATGGTAGGAAATGACAATTTAAAAAGTCAGGGTACTGCTATGGTGTGGAGGTGGAGCGCATGACCCAGTCTCAGGTTCCTGTCCACATACTTTCAGACAAAATAACAAAATAAAGACCGTTAGAGCCTAAAAAACTATCTCTTAAAAAACGATTTAAAAAGTCAACTAGAGGATTAGTTCATTGTTTATTCAATTATTATGTTTTTTAGCTATTAAACTAAGGCTGTTTTATTTTCATTTTATATGGTGCCATATTTGTAAGGAAAATTGCATCTGAGTATTTATCAGCAGAGTTTAGTTCACCTCACAGCAATGTGTGACCAAGCTGGTGAGTGTCATTAGGAAGAATCAGTTGCAGAATAAGGTTTTGAGTTTTTGCAAAGAAGAATAGGTTGGGTTTTTATTGAAATAAGTAAGATACATTTCCCAATTTATTTTTTTATTTTGTTTTCTATCTTTATGTCCACTAACATCCCTTTCTTCCTGCACACAGACGGCAGCAGCACAGAGCGGGGTCCCAGCACCACCACCGCCTCCGCCTCGGCTTCCAACTCCACTTCCTGAGCCCACAGACCTCACTTGTCCCCCGCCCCGGTCTCAGCCCCGGCCCACAGCCTCTCCATTGCGCCCCCTGGCCAGGGGGTGAGCTGCCATCAGCTCTGCTCCTGGCAGCGGTGCAGCGACGCTAAAGCGGGCCCGGGGCTCAACAGCGACACAACAGCCCTGAGACATGACCACACAAACCCAAGCCCCCCTGACCTTCCTCTCTGCTCCCCAGCTGTCTGAACTCTCCGTGCTCTTTAACAGTGAAATGTAAGGGCAGAAGCGTTGACGACTACAAGTATACTGTACAGGTATACTTGCACAGTTAGCCTCCTTATATTTGTAAGAGGACAATCTGTGGAAAAAAAAAAAAAGAAGCCCTTTGCTGTTCCCCTCAGCCCCTCCTCGACTGTCCCTACCTCTCTGTATCGTACCACATCTCTGAATCCTCCCCCTCCTCTGGTTCCTCCTGTAGTGCATGACCCGAGTACAGTAGGATCAGCCACAGAGGGGGGGTGGGTGCCCTGCCCTTTCATCTCCGCAGACAAGGCATGAGGCTCACGCACGTGTATTACACACACTCAGACACAGCCACATCCTCGCACACCTTGATGCATGATGATGATGTCCGTTAGAAAAAGCTCAGCAGATCGGATGATTTCCTTCTCCTGGATTAGTTTTTAATTGGTTAGCTTGTTTTTATTTTATTTTTACTTTGGATTCCCAGGCAGTGTTTTCTGGTGGAGGTGTGCAACGGGTGTGACGTGTATCTGCCCCTGTGTGCTTGTATAATATATACATACAGTACAAACAAGCATACACCCAGTTTATATATGACTTTTCTTTCTGTACAAAAAGTATATATAGATATATGTATAATAACTACAATGGTTCAGAAATCATTTATGTTGAGCTCATATCTGGCAGAGTAGTGGCAATATTTGCTGCTGCCTATGACAGATGTAGATGCGGTGATGTTTTGTTTGTTTTCTCTGTTCTTGCTGGAAGAGTCCAGCAGGAGGTTCTGTCCTCCTTCTAGTGTTAAAGGCTGATTTCGGAGCACCTGCGTTGCTCCTTTTTGCCTTGGACTCAGTAACAGTGTGACAGAGCAGCGTCTCGACAAAACTGTTCACCTCCTGCGTGCATCCGCCTCCTCCTTCCAGATGATCACGTTTAGTTCATTTATTTTTTTGTCTGTCAGTGAGCGGCGGCGCTCTGTACAGTGTTAGCCACCCTTCATCCTTACATTACAGTGCACAGAGAGCTGCTCGGTACAGTTTTTACCTACCAAGAACATTCACTACATTTAAAATAAGAAAAGAAGAAAAAAAAACTGAATTTGTATATACATTATAAATGCTCGTCACCAAAACTCTGACTTGTATGTCTTGTATCTTATGTTATGATTTTTTTTTTTTTGGTCTCCCATGTTGTGTTTAAGGTATGTATATATGCTGACCCATGTACTGTTTATGAGCAAAAACAAAAGAGTTGGGAAAGAAAAAAGAAATAAAAAAAAAAAACAGGGCAGAACTGATATTGTTTATGGATATTGTTAGATGACGACGATGATCAGCTTTATCCAGCCATATGTTCAACCTTACCTGTACAGTACAGTAGATATCAGCTGTATTATTGTAACAAGAACTAGTCATGTATAGTGTAACTATAGTTTGGAGTGCCTTTGCTTTCATACACCTTCGCCTTGTCTCCTCCATCACCCCCTCCCTTGGTGTTGTGACCCTCCCCTGGGTGCTGTTGAGCCTCTACCTCCTCATTTACTCCCATTTGTCATCAAAAACACTTCATGCATCATAAGACGTTAATTGTAAGGATTTATTTTTTTCCTCAGCTGAAAATACACTATAGACAGGTGTTTATTTTGATGTTTTATCCGAGGCACACGTGGACTGATGAGGCAGCAGGAGGTCCTGTTTACTGTACATATAGACTACAGTAGAGACTCCATATCGCCATCAGTGTTGGTTCTGTTACCAAAGCCAAACGTTGACAAAGTGATGAGCCATCCTCAGAGGCAATAACTCTCCGTTTTGATTTGTCCTCCCTGTTGTGACATTTCTGTGTCCTGTTTCTCATCCCTGGGCTGCATATCTTGAAATGTAAAGATGGGGGAGGGGTAAAAATTCAGTAGCACCTAAGGGGGGGTCGAGTCATGTAGCCTTTCTCCTCATCGTCTGCTTGCTGTAATTTTTGCAATCATGGACGTGTTGCTTCCCTCCACCTGAAGGTTTGACCACTTGACCCCCAACCCTAAACACCCAGTTGAATAAAAACAAAATGGTAACCAAAAAGAGAAAAGCAAGTATATTTACTAGTATCGTACGTTATACTAGCATATATACTGGTCCTATACCTACTGGGTTTAATGGGGTTAAAGAGACACAAAAGTAAAAAATACTACAAATACATCCTGTATAACAGTAATGCTACTTGAATGCCTCTGTTTGTGACTGAAATGTTTTATTTTTTTGTTTTGTTTTCCTTTTGTTTCTGTGAAGGTATGCTTAATGTGCGCCTCTGTAAATATTCCCTCTGCGTGCTCCGAGGAATAGTTCCCTGGTACTGTAATTTGCAACAAATAAAGATTAGGATAGCCTGGAAATGATCAAGGTGTTTGACTGACTGGTTTTCCGTTAGATTTCTTTAAATTAACACGATTTGTCTGAATTATTTGACATGAATTTAAAGACTGGCGGCTTAAGGAAGCTCCTGGATTGACCCTCCAGTAAGTATGGCCACAACCTTTGCTGCTGCTGTGTGAATGAAAACTTGCATTTTACTTAACATAAAACAATTTAAATTTTATTTACAAGGTGCAAATAAATGTAGTCTCTGTGTAATTAAATTACATTCTCTGATTCAGTAGCATGTCAACAACAGAACAGGATGGAGAGGATAAATTCCCTGAATTATGAGGGTTTGCTTCCACCTAGAGTTGGATGAGCAGAAAGCTGCAATCTTTGATATCTTGTCAAACAGGAAATAGAAAGGAAAAACAAACTGATACTAGATGTACATTTCTTTCACTTGTTTTATCTGTTCTATTATTTATTTCAGTGTCCTACTAGGTCTGTTTTGTTATATTTTGTATTATTTATAGTACATAGCATTTAAAGTATATAATTTTTAGTACAGCTGATGAATGGTTGGATTCAAATATCTGCAAATCAAAAAAAATATATAGTGTATCAAAAAATGCTCTTCGTTATAAAACCACCTTGGTTCAAGAGGAAATGCAGGATGTTTAAGATAATGGCAGATTATCAATTAATCAGTCACTAAAATCAATTAACATGAATATGGGAACTAGAATGGCTATTATCAGCTATGGATCTGCAAGCATCAAAGTGTCAGAATTAGGAAGCGATATAAATCTGCTGGAGCCTGGTTCAAACCAAAGCTAAGGCTATGATCGTCAATCCCATCCGGCACTTGTCTCTATAAAGAATATTAAATGCCTTTGCAACTTGGCTCTTTGTCGTCTGAGAGAAACTCGAGTTCCACTAGAGTAAGCCTGCAATAGAGGAAAGGGTAAAAAATACCAATAAATCTTTAAACATCATGATGTAGCAACTGCAGGATTTAGAAATAAAGAACATTATCTTTTTTTTGTTTTTTAACTGAATTCAGTTGTCTTTCTGAAGTGGTATAGATGCACTTTTACAGTTTTTTAGATTTAAAAAAACTATGTGCGAAATTTTCTTTGGGTCTAACCATAAAGTATATATTTATTATAATGTACATTTGTCCTAATAGTGCAGTATATCATCTCTTGTTATTGTTTATTACATTTTTCCTTTGTATTTGCATAGTTGTATTCTAGGTCTAGGCAATTTATTGTTTACATATTGCAATTTAAATTACATATTGCAATCTAAACACAGTTTTCAATTTACAGAAGTGCTCAATTTTGATTGGATTTCGTTAAACAGAATTAAGGCATCTACTTAATTTTATTAATTTTTATATTGAAAAAGCTTTCTGGATGGGAAACGAAACATCTTCAAACTTGGAAACAAAGTCCAGGGGATTGTTTTTTTTACTTTGGAACAAGAAGTAAACACCTTTCCATGAAACAGTAATGTCCTGCTACAACAGAATCCAGTGAAAAAATAATCCAAAGCACATTTATTTTATGATTGTACTTAAGTACTTTTGTGAGTATATTTACTTGAGTAGTTTTTGAGGGAGTACTTATAACTTTCAAATCACTGCATTTCAAAGTCAAATATTGTATTTTCTACTCCACTACATTTTGGAAAAGTTACAAGTTATCCTTAGTTTTGGCTCAGCTTAGCTTTGTAATCCGCTGTTTTTCTTTCTTGAAATGCAATTTCACAATGACAGATGCCAAATTCAAGGTAGATATTTGTAGTTTATAGATTTTATTAAAGCATTAGTTGTTGCCATGTGGCCATGTTCAGTAGAATGAGTTCTCAAAACAGAATAGTAGTTTATTTTTGGTAGATTCAACCATAAACCTCTATTACAAAGTGAAAGTATGAGGAGAATCAAGACCCTCCTGTCTTCTTTTTGGTTTGTTTTTAAATGGGAAATAATCAAAATAGCTGTTCTTATTTTTGGGGCATTTTTATACTGAAGTTCTTTCCAGGTGGTGTAGAATCTGTAGCAGGTGGTTCTATGTGAAAACATCAGGTCATTTTTGAAAGTTACAAGGTTCTTTAAAATTACCCTGCAATTAGACAGAAATGTACTAATATTAGAAAATAATTTCTATCTTTGAATACTTTTAAATGTATGAACTTTTAAGAGTTATTTTCAAAAATGGGTACTTTAATACTTTCACTTGAGTTGGTGTTTGACCGAGCAACTTTTACTTGTAGTTGAGTAAGATTTGACTATAAGAATCAATACTTTTACTCAAATACTACTGTTGAGTACTTCGTCCACCACTGACAGAATCTGGACATAAACATTTTTAAGATGCAAAAAATGAAACTCTGGAGCGAATCATTTCGATACATTTGGTTAGTTTAGGGAAAATAAAATCCAAATAAAACCACAACTGCAATACTGGTTCAAAAAGAGAAAATTATATTTTTGGCATAATTATTTAGCCCTATTCAATTCGCCTCAGTTTCCCCATTGATGAATAATGAAGCACATTTCTATTCTATTCTATTATTGGTGAGCTGTCCAGGGTGTACTCCGCTTATTGGCCTTAGAATAGTGGGGATAGGCACCAGCCCCCATGACCATAATGGAGATAAGTGGCAGAGGATGGATGGATTTCTATTCTTATCTTCCCTATTAGCCACTTTAAGATTTGTTTTTCACCAAAGGTAAAAAGAAGTTCAATTATTCAGTTCAATTCAGTTTATTTATAAAGCACCAATTCACAACATGTCATCTCAAGGCGATTTACAGAGACAATTCAATCAGAGCATTAGGTAGTTAGCCATCTAAGTAAAGTGGATTTATTGACTTTGCAAGATTCCCTCCTCCCTGATGAGCATGTGGTGACTGTAGGTATTTGCTTGCATTGTGTTGACTCTTCAGCAATCCCTCGTACCGATAATGCATGCAGCAACAGTAAAAAGGAACAACTGCCTTTAAACAGGAAGAAACCTTCAGCACAAACAGGCCCAGTATGAGCGGCCATCTGCATAGGCCGAACGGGGTTCAAGGAGACAGAAGCAGACACACAAAAGCAACATAGAAGCGCCAATCCCAAAATACTTCTATGTTAGAAAAGGTGACGGTAAACTTGCTCCATAGGAGGCGCTGTATAGGAGATAAACCTTTATAAAGATAAGCTCTGATCCAGTCTTTTTGCAAAAAGGGAGCACATTCAGTTAGTCACAATAAAAGCTTTGCTGAAAGCTAATGTCTGCGAAACAGGACAAAACCTTAAAAAAACGGCCCATCTCTATTATCTATAGCCAAATGTGTTGAAGGCAGTAGCCTTAATGACATTTCCCTCTAGGATGGTGTCACAACCAGACTGGAACAGAGAGGATGAAGCTACTATAATGAGAAGAAGAAAGACCATAAAGTTTATATTGACATGACAGCAACTGTCTGGGTTGACAGTATTGGCGCTTCCACCATAACTCTTCAGATGCAGCTTCTTGTAACCTCCTCGGTTAAAGAAGGCCGTACACTTGGGACAGAGGAAAATGTCAGCCGAATCTTCTATAATTCTGTTGATCTCCTCAATCCTTCCTGGCCAAACCTTCAAGATCTCCTTTGCAATTAAACTCATGGACAAGTCTTTAAGGCAGAGGCAGCTGCTGGTCTCTGAAACAGGGGAGGCTCAGTGGTGTTAATTAAACCCAAACATAATGTACTGCTTTAATAAAATGTTGCAACACATAAAACACATTACCACAATGGGCGAAAATAGCTGTTATGAAATGCTCTGAAATAAACTCCAGAAACCGCAGCAAGAGTTTAGCACGAGACTATTCTGACTAAATGAGTCTCATGAGGACAATGTCCCATCTGTCTTGACATTCTCAGTCAATCTTTTTATGTGTTCTGAAAATCGGCATCGGACAGCCAGCTTCAACACCTGCTCCTGACCCATCCCTGCTCCATACACCCCATAAGAACCTTAGTCTCAATGTAAATAACAGATTTTTTCATGTCATCCAATCGGGGCCCTACTTTCTCATTGGTTGCTTCAATGCATGGAGGCTCAAGCCTCAAAAGAGATTTCGCACAAAGACGGACAGGCAGAGTCCTGCTGCTCCAGAGCGGAAGAGAAAATACAATGATTATACCGTCCTCCATAGTTCCTTAAAATACCCTGTATTTCAGATTTTCAGACTGATTTTCAAAAGGAAGTTGCTTTTCCATCACAAGATCTTTTTCTTAGTATATCGAGATACAGTTCTACAATAATTTCTGGTCATGTAGAGTCCTACGCTTTTGTAATTTAATTCAATTTACAATAAGTTTTACATTACTTATATGCACGACACAACAAGCACAAAACTAAACTCAACCTGAGGTAAGAAGTGAGACAATACAAATGTCTTTAGAAGAAAGTCTAACGGTTCTTAGAGTAGTGAACATCATGGTAAACAATTTGAATTTTTTTCACAATGCCACGACAAAGCACTGAAAGGCAGCAATCGGTGATGAATTTATCAGGATTTGACTTCATTCTTCTCCTGTGATTCTCACTTGGCAGCAAATCAGTGGGTACATTCAGTTTTTCAACCTCTACAAAACAGCTTGAAGTGGCCAGTTTTTTGGTGTCAGTTGTGCTTGCAGGGGTTTTTACTGACCACCTCCATCATGAGGGGAGAGATGGTGTCAGGCTGCACCTCCTGGATCTGCAAGACCTGCTTACTGTACTCTTCAGTCATCGTTCTCAACTCCGTGAGGCAGGCTATCAATTTGGGGTACAGCAGGCTGAAATAACAGACAGAAGTTAGGTAAATATGGGAAAAGACTTAGCATTGGCTCTGCTTAAAGGGGCTCGTCACTCACAGCTTTTTTGGTCCTGTTTTCTTACAATCAATCCAGGTTTTCAGCGTCAGTGCCAAGTTTTCACGAACTCTGTCAATGGTGGCATGTTGCTGCACTCCTTGACGATCTGATGGGTTGAATTAAAAATTAGAACAAGGTCTGAGAACATTTACAAATATATTTTCTAAGAATATATTTACAGGGCTCATTAATAAATCGAGTCTAGTGGGATATAATGAGCGGACATTCTGTCTGTCTCTACCTGGAGAAAACAGAGACAAGGCCTGGATGAGGGCGTACTCCTCCTCCCCTAAGTCCAGCTTGCGAAGATTGTGGTGAAACTTGAAGATGGGTTCCAGAAGGAGCGGCTGGAAACCCCCTGAAGGACACGGGGAAGCAGGTCAGTGATCACATCAATATTGAAGACCACAGCGGTCAATGAAAAAAATAAATAAAAAAGAATTAAGCAGATTAAAATTAAGCAGATTTTAGAGGGGGTTAAGCAGAGCTGTGAATCTCTGCAGCTCCTCCAGAGTTACCATGGTCTCTTGACTGCTTCCCCTTGCTGAGACTGATTATGTGTAAAGGAATCAGTTGATGGGTGTGTACCATAGTTTTAGTACTTTAGATAATAGACTGAGCAGTGCTTTGTGAGATATTTAAATCTTGGAGATGTTTAATAAGCCGACAGTGCTTTGAATTCCTCCACAACTTTGTTCGTGACATGTTTGCTGGGTTCCTACTGTTAGGTTTAGTCTTTATACATCATGTGCATTGTTAGTTTGTTAGCCAAATTAGAGAGAGTAGAAGGCCTTCCTTCACATTGTGGATGTCACTGTGTCTAAGGAGGTCATCTAAATAGGACAGCCTTCTTGTCTTTTAAAGATACACAGGACTGATAGAGGAGAGCTATCTATAATCCTTGGGCATGGATGGCGTGTCAGTTTCTGATACAGACAGCAAAGCATCCACTTGATCCAACACATAGACTCATGAGGTATAAGAAGCAGGAGATGACCTTGTTCGGGGCTCAATCTTTGCCGGAAGCTTGCTGACATTTTTTGAGCCCACAGCTGTGCAAGCTCCCAGCATTTTCTCTATCCTGTAATGACCTGATCTGGTACTAAACTCTGTTACTTTTTTACTCCTGTTTTTATAGTCCTTTTTTATATGTTTTTTTTTTCCCAGTTTGAGTTAAGAGTAGTAAATAATTGCTCCCAGGAAAAGAACCAGAAGGGAAGTCCCGAGGCGCAACTGCCTTCAAGGGGACATAACTTCCTCATTTAACACTACCCTAAAGCCTATAAATCAAACACTATAAAAACAGTCCTAGATGATTAGGATAAATGTGGTTGACTAATTCGAAAAGACCGTTTTCTTTAAAGTTTAATATAATTCTATATGTGGACAAGTTTTAGCCAAAATTGCCTCAAGAGCCAAAAAATAAACAGTTCCAGGAGACACCGTATGACTCTTAGGCTTTTAAATTCCAGTTCTCTACTGTTCAATTGCAGGATCCTTCATCATATTATTAGCTGCTTTAGTATTTTTTGCCGACATAATTTTTTAAAAGACAATTCATCTCTTCATCCTCGCCGGTGACATTCTGTCAGCCCTCTCACTGTGTAACATCTCCAACAATGGAGATATATGAAGCAGTTTTGCTGGAACACTTTTGATTAGCTGCCAACAACTGACATGACTATTAAGGAAACAAGCTGAACTGGTGTCTAATTATATTAGGGAAATACAGCAACATCTTGTACAATTTAAAGTTTTAACAAATACTCAGATAAGAAGGAAGAAGGCATCTTTCTGTCCAGTTTAAATATGTAAATATATTATAATGAATAAAATTTGTCTCTCTTTCCTCCAAGATACATAAAAAAAAGAATTACACATGCACACATATTTCTAAGGGGAAAAAAATCAGTGTATAATACTACCAGTAGATCTTATAAAAAAATATCAATTCAAAATGTTTACCACATAAATTGCAGAGTAAAATATTAAAAACTTTAATTTCTTTCTTCTAAATTTTTTTGTGTGATCATTTTTTTATTTTCTCATCTCATCCCCTGGTTGGTTACTATACCTACTATAAACAGATGAACCTGTTTGGATACGAATCCTAATGCTTTTCATTTTGCAGGAGTAATAATACATTGTTAAGATTTATTGCCTTTTTCTGTTCCTTCAGAGCTACGGAAACATTACAGAGAAACTTCCTTAATAGTTCTTTAATGTTCATCCATCCAAAAAAACGACTGTGATTAGTCACAACCTCTACATACACACAAGTGGTAGAGATAAAGACTGAGGAAAAAGATTATTTTGCTACCTTGGTTTAATGGAAATAGAACTTAGTAGAATTTATTACTACCTTATTATTACGACTCTGATGGAATAAGCGGGAGAAGATGCATTTGTATTAAAATCCAGTTTTCTAGTTTCTCTATAAGCCCTTAGATCCAGAATGCTGTGGCACAGTTGCTTAGGCAGGTTTGACATATACAACCATCCAATCATCATCTAAACCTGCTTATTCATGCAGGTTCAAATCAGAAAATCTTCCTTTTTTTGTAATCTATTTCTTTTTTTTCTTTTAATAACAAATATGAAACAACAAAGTTTTCAAACAGTTTGCATGTAAAAACGTGAATAGAAGCTCTGTTTCACATGAACTTTGAGCCGACTGGACCAGTCCGACTGCATTCTACTGAGGATTCTCTCAGTAGGTGTCAAGACACTAAAAAACATGAGAAAGCAAAAGTAGAGGGAAGAGCTAGAGGCCATATTTGAGTTCTTGCACAGGCAGAGAACAGTTCATGCTACAAATGAGCTGAGAGACAAGATAAAACAAGCAGAAACGACAGACTTCCCCCACCCATCTTTTCAGGTAAAAGTTTGGTCTAACTGAAGCTTGTCAAAAAGTAATGAGAGTGTTTCCTTTGGCTTACACATGCTGCATTAGTAATATCAGAAGCTTTTTACGTGTCTTAAGGTGGTTGTGCTTTGATTATTTTAATATCTTGCTTGTATTACACATTTTACTCCTGTTTGCAACAGCAGACACACCTACACAAACAATGCCGAACTCAGGAAAACTGAGGAAACAGTTCACAAAAGGAGAAATGGCTACAACAAATCATTAAATAGGTGAAGCATAAGTTATAGAGCAGTACTCATCGTTCATGTGTGTAGACCAACCTCTCACAGCGTCGTGTATGCAGTATGTAATATGGCCACATTCCCAGTTGTTTGTAGAGGTGTTGAAAACCATGTTGAAGCGGATCTGCATCATTTCAAATGTGGCTCCTTTTAGTAGAGATATTTGGTCCTCGATGCTTAGAGACCTACAGGAAGAGATGGACACAAACCAACGCAACATTATCACAATATTTCCAGCAAAACTCTTGAGGAACAGAAACTTTGCATTCAAATCTGACAGCAAAATACAGCAGCATGCTCCCCACCCCCCACATAATAGTTAATAAAAATAACAATACTTGTTTTGCTTTGTTTTTTTTCTTTAAGCAACCTGTAGTATAAACACAAATATGCAGATTATGTTTATGAAGTTTATGAAATACAAATATTTTTCTAGACACAGGAATGAAAAACAATCACAAAAAGCATTTGTCTTCACTAAGTTTGTATTCAGAACTGAAACCCTGCAGTTAAGATAATGGAAAACGTCCCAAGAAATGTCCATGTCTTTTTTTTACGATTATTTATTTCGTTATACTTCTGAAAGTAGGCAGACAAGAAATGAGATTGGAGAGACAGGGAAGAGATTTGGCAAAGGTCACCAGGCCGGAACTCAACCAGAACCCTTCGATTAAAGGCCACACGCCTAACCACTGCCCCGCCTCAAGAAATGTCCTTTCCTAACCAGAAACTGAAACCACTGAAGGATGACTGTGACCTTTGAAGCCTCAGATATGCATAATTTTTAATAAAGTCACATGGGTAAAGAGTTACACCATAATGAACTTTCTGTGGCGTTTCACTCAGGTTTAGAGCTCATCATAGCACTAAAACAGCACTGATGGAAGTCACTAATAATATTCTCCTGGCCTCAGATAACTGACTTGTTTCGGTACTTGTCCTGTTAGATCTCAGTGCTGCATTTGAAACATTCGCTCACAATATTCTGTTAGAAAGGCTTGCATACTAATTAAAGGTACAACACTAGGTTGGTTTAAATATTAAATCTGTTGGGAATTAAAGTGATATAAACTGAATTGGTCCAAAGGTTTCTGCTACTAGAGTCCAAATCATGGAGGGAGATCGTTTTTCGGCAATGAGGTGCTTCTGGTTGCCTTTAGGGGGGGTTAAACCTGGAAGCTACAGGTCTAATTCCCCATGTGGCTAAAAGGTAAATACGTGTATGGAGCATTAAATGTCGTTGAACTATGCAATAACAATTTTTTTTCCCCAATCCTTTAAAATTTGTCGGTATGACAAACATGCTAAACAATAATAACTCAGAAAGAGAGCAAACACTACATCCCACTACTGTATCTCCACTTTCTAATCATTCCTCTCCTAAATAAAAATTCATGGTTTATAAGATTGATATGTTCAACCTTGACTGATGTGTTGCTTATATTATATTCATATCAAGTTCCATAAATGTTCAGGACTATCACGCAAATTATACCTTCAAAAATTCCTTAAATGAGGGTTATCAACCTTTTTGGCCATGAGAGCTGATTCAGTGCCAGGTAACACCGAAAGCTACATAATAGAAGGTTATTTTATAAATAAATTTTTTATTTTGTATATACCTTTAAATAAAATTAAAATCCTTATAGGATTTAGGCAGTCCAAAGATTTAGGATTTACCCTCATAAGACATGATTTAACATATGAAATTACTCACTTTACTTTATCTTTATTTTTCGTCAAAAATGTAAAAGTAATTTTGTGGCCGTCGTTTTTAAATATTGTCTTTTTAAAAATCACACCTGGTTTACTTTTGTACAAAGTGTCACATAAATAAAAAAAAAAAAAATACCCCTGCACTCTCAGAATTTATAAATGATCTCTATTTAAATACTGTTGTCCTTAAATCCACTTTAGGGCAATTATAAATCAAAAACTTCCCAAAATTAAATTTCAAAACATTTTTAGACTAATTTTCAGGAGATATTGTGTTTTTTAACTTTGCTGCTTCTCAATAGGTCCTTGCAAGTTGGTGACTCTTACTTTAGACTGAGTGCACCTTCTCCTCACTTTTTGCCTATCTGTCCTGACTCCTGTTGGTCAATAAGAATGGCAAAGTGATAATAATTATTATTTGATAATATTCTGAAGGGAATTAGTTTAGCTGCTGTTTCATGCTGGGTAGCCATCTATGTATAGAGTTAGAAACAGCTGATAAATCAAAACGAAGTCCTCTCAAAGGCAGTAAAAGAACCAACTTTTAGTATTTACTATTTAGACATAATGCCCATGAAATGTCACAAGTTATTGTCCCGAGGTGGCAGCAACCTGCATTAAAAAGATTTATTTGATCGCGCTATAAACCTAGCTGCTGTTTACTGCCCGCCAAAAAAACGAAAAAATAAATAGATTAATATATAAATATAAATAGCTAGGAAGTTTGCTGGTTGTGGCCTTGAAACCAGGGAGGATCCATCACACTGACCTTCTCACTCACCCTATGAAATCTGGAGGAGTACTCACGGTTTCCTCCTGTGAAACCCCTGTTATACCAAAACGCTGCCAATACACCATTAAACAGTAGCTATAAGTTAGAAACATGTTCAGTGGTCGTCTGGAACACGTCAAATACGTTGATATGCGTTGGAGATAAGTTCTTGATAAGCTAGACACCACGACTTATGAGTGACTTACCCTTAACTTATGTAAACACTCAAAAAACTTATCGGAAACCCCGTATGGCATACGCTGGCATACAAAAGGAAATTATGAGCATGCATGCTCAAAATTTCTTGACATACTTGCTGTATGTCGTCGTGTGCCAGCTTGTTGCAGCGTGCTCTTAACTTATACAAAATGTACCCATAACTTAACCAACTTATGCCAGAATTTTGGCCAAATTTTTCATATGTCAAGCATACGCTGTCTAAAACAGCAAGGTGTGACAGGGCCTTAAGGAAATAGAAAACACAGCTACTTCCAACATCTCTCTTAGATGGCTCCAAGAGTGACTGTATTTTCTTTTTAAGAGATCTAATAATCTGTTGATCATAGTGACGTGTATGGGCTAAATCACAAGTGGTCTCTAAATGTTTAATTTGCAAACCCTGGCTGGTAGGAGCTGTTGCTGGTTTGCCATGTTTTCCGTGCAGAAGTTCTGTTCATGACATCTAGTGTAGCAAGATTTTGTATTGACAGCGGGAGCTGCTCTAAACTGCAGAGGAGTCAGCAGCCCTAAAATAGGCCTATATTAATGCCACTGATTTAAACCCAGCTCTTAGACCAACTAAGTTCCATCGTGCACATATTTACCGAAAGTCCTGAAGACTTTTAGAGAAGCGGATGATGTCCTGAATCATGTAAGTGGTGAGGTCAGACAGATGTGGGAGATTAGTATAAACAAAGCTGCTTTTGTCTCCAAGGTGGCCGTCAATTTTCTCAGAGAAACTGGACTGGAAATAATAGGTGGAAGAGGAGGAAGACGGGGAGGATGGGACTGGGGATAAGGAGCAGTGGTAGGGGGATGTTGTAGGCGGAGCTGCAGGTTTATCAGCTGTTGAGCAGGTCTTTGTAGGACAGGTGGTCTCCTGGTTCTCTGCCAAAATGTCTCTATCCCTAGGCTGGTTTGAAAAAACAAAAACAAAAAACCAATAACTATACAGAAAACAGCATAATCAACAAACACATATAAGCGCATGTGCCGAGTCACACACCCTGAAGCCAGTGAAACGTGAGAATGTTGAGTCAAATGTGTTGCGGAGGCTACAAAGCAGCTCCTCAACCATCTTTTCTTGTTGGAACGAAAGCTCTGTGGTTGAGTTTGCAATCTTTTTCTTCTTTATTCTGATTCGTCGCTCCAAGACCTCTTCCTCTGACATGACCACTGAACACCAGCACACAGAAAAAAGGACAAGCAGAAGGTTTAACTTTTCCTTAAACAAATAACCGACATTTCAAAAACTGGTTAAGATGCATGTATGATTAAGGAAATCTCTAAACAGAGTGCCTGTAAAGAATAAAAAATTGGTATTCACAAGTTTTGTTTTTGTACATTTATATTATTTATTCTATTCAGAGGACACATAAAAGTCAAACAAAAATGCTATTCCACAACATGCATCACAACTTAATTGTGGAAAAAAATACTGCTTTCCTGGCAGGCACTGTAGGGGAAGATGCTAAACTGTCAAGTGAGATAAAGTTGAACTATGAGTGAAAAACTTTAATGCTACACTTGAACTAAAGTGATAAGCTGCAGCCAGGTAATACTACCTAAAGTCGTTAAACTGCTAACATGCAAGTATTACTGCCGCTATAAAATTAGGAAGTTGGGCAGGTCTAAAGATACACTTCTGATCAATATCTCAAGATAAAATTATTACAAGAAGGTGCTTTTCTTACAATTGGATCTTAGAAAATGTTTAAGCTTCCTAGAGCTAAAATAAGAAATAGGAGCACGAGACAATGTATCTTAGGACGCAATTTATGGATAACCTTTTATTCATTCTATCAATAGTGGGAGAGATTGTGAATTACTCACTGTCTTTCCGCATGCCAATAGCTTGGCATTTTCTGAAGCGGCAGGCCTGACACGAGCGCCGGTTGTTTTTGGTTATGGTGCATTTATTCAGGAATGGACATCGAAGCTGTGTTGACCTCTTTATGGCACGTCTAAATGGATTTATAAAACCAAACGAACAAAACAAAAAAATAAGCAGTAAGTCAAAACATATGGTTGAATAATCTTTTAATGTTGACTGTTACAACTTATTGCTATGCAGACATGTCCAATCAAGTATAAATGCTTTACTACTGAGTAATTTTGAAAACTCTAGAGATATTTTTGAGCAGTTAAGTGACTTGTTACCTTAAAAGAAAGGCATAATGTGGTAAAATAAGGTATTAGTTAAATAACTATGTTGACTCACAGTGAAGCTTCATTGACAGACATCTGAGACAATCCAAAGAAAAAATTCCATATATATATATATTATATATATATATTATATATATATATATATATATATATATATATATATATATATATATATATATATATATATACATACAGAAAGAAGCTTTACCGGGATTACAATAATAGTCTAATCTGTAGTTTGTAATACTACTAATACTGAAATAGTAATGCTAGGTGCAGAAGGCCTTTCTCCAAAGGGAAGAAAAAAAACAACCACAGAAGGCTTTTAAAAAATGCATGAGATGTGCTTAAGATGCATTAGAAGAGGTCAACACTCACATGCTCTGAATTCTGGGCCACCTGTTTTTGCTCAACAGCCTTAAAGACCTAACTCCAAGACACATTTCAGCTGATTTCTGAAAGTCCATCCTGGTATAAGTCGGCTCCCGACATCAATGCACTTCAGCTGATTATTACACCAAATAACCCAGTGTACCCTAGTTTTTATTTACAAATTAAAAGGCAGCATTCATTTCAATTTAATGTGAAAATGACCACAAACATATCAAGACTTTTATTTAAAAGATTTATAATATCTAATTAAATGCTGTAATTTTCTGTCATTACAGAAAGTCATCCTGCTTTATTTTGACAATAAGGTGAGAAACATTGTGTAATATACCTAAACGTAGACCGTTGAATATCAGTGAGTAAATTATTGAGTCTGATCCAACCAAAATAAATTAGTTTCCTTTAGGGAAGTTCTAGGGATTCATGATAGAAAAGCCTGAGGGTGAGAGAATAATATTTTAGTAGCTATTGGAAAATAAAAATAAGTCTGAGATCAGACAAGTTGCTCCTCATTTCCAGAAGCCTTCGGAGGATCATTATTTAGCCAAGGTAATGATCCATAAGAAAAAAGAAAAAAAAAGAAATATTAACTTCTACCAGCCTTTCAAAAGAAAACTCAACTAAATAAATAATAATTTTTTTCATGTTTATTATTAAGCATCAATCCTTTTGTCCATCTGTGATAATATATGTATCTCTGGAGGGCCCATTCACCTCAGCTTTCCTGCGTCACCAACCATCTCTTTATTTCACGTCTCACTTCAGCCTGAACTAAACCCCTAAAAGTAAAACAGTTTTAGTTTATTTAGTCCTGCAAACAAGTTCTAGTAGCAGAAGGCCCCACATACTCGCACAGACCCGCCTAGAAGGGGCCTTAACTGTAGTCAGAACACGTACACATATGAGATGACACCTTTTGTAAAGGTTTCTTTTATGACAATCAGGAGATTATTGCATCCTCCACACTGCTAATGCATGCATTTTTATTCTTTTGCCCATACATTTTCCTCCATGCATTTCCTAAAATCATGCAGGATCATGGAGGACTGTTGTAAGCAGCAGGGATACACTATAGACACAGCTCACAGACAATCCACCAAGCAGCCCAATAACTGCCCTTGCAGTTTATAGATCCTGTTACATTATAAATAATATGTTTAAGAAGTACATTTAATTTTAGAATAAAAGAAAACTGGAAAATGTCAGCAGAAAGGAAAATGAAAATAGAATAACTGCCAAAGCCAACAAGCACAAACACTCAAAAACATCAACATGAGGGGAAATCTACCGCAAGAAAGTAAGAGTTAAAATCTACCTGAAGAAGCCTTTGCAGCCCTCACATGTCAGAGCGTTAAAGTGGTAACCCTTTGCACGATCACCACAAACACCGCACGCTCTGGGCTCCTCATCATCAGTCGTTTTCCCATTATCCTCCTCCTCCTCCTCTTCCTCATGTGGCACGGTAAGGGCTTCATAGACAGCTTGGATCCCAGCAGCTTTCAAACTCATTCTCAGCTAAAAACCAAAAGAAAATAAATGAGAATAAATTTTTTTTACATATTTATTAACATTAAAAATAGGTTGCTGCCAATGCATAGAGGTAATCCTAATCACAACGAAAACAGCAACAAAGACAAAGCTAAACCCAAAGAACAATACGTTTAAAGCACATACAGAGATAAAATAAATTGATCAAAGATAACAGTAGTGTTGGAAGGATGGTGCACATCATACTGTGTGTAAGTGCTATCAATAAGGATTGCCACACAGCTTTGTAATCTTTCTGGTCTGGCCAGGTCTCAGCAATGCTAGACATTGCATGTCGTGATATAAATCAGCACTATTTCCTTTGCTACACAGTACAACATGTTTTTTTTGCTGTTGAGAACATTCCTCCTATAAGAATCTATACCTGGTTTTTCAGTTAAAGCAACCAGATCTTGCAAGCCTCCCCCCCGGTCACCCACCTAGATGCATTGAGCTGTTGGTTTAATAACTGACAACACAGTTGTCTGCATATCACTAAACGCACCTGCCTTTACCAGTTACCAGTGATCGCAGCAAGCGACAATTGTTAGTTTGCTGTATTCATACTGTGAGTAATGTTACATTCTACCGTACTTGTTTATACTTAGATGGAAGTTAACCACTGCTCTGTCTATAATTTATCTGCATTTTAGCTGGGAGTTTAAGTACGGTAATTTAATAATTTATTTCTGTCAGATAAAAGTCTGATGGTGTCAATTATGTTGGATCTAATGTTTGCTTTGAAACATTTGTAAACTGCCTATATTTACAGAATACATCAAATATTTAGATCTCAAGATAGCTGTATTCCACCTTGTAGGAGACCCATTGTTAACATGTGTGCAGAGGTGTTGCCCCCTAGGGCATGTAATGTTATTAATGAGATGTCCCAAATAAGCCAGTCGCAGTTCTCTGGTCAACCTCAAATGTCGTGTTGGTAGATAAGAAAAAATGCTGCCAATCCTAGAAGATTTCAGTTAATGCCAAATCATCAGAGTCAATGCAGGACAAAAAAACATATGTGATTTGTATTGTTTAATTCTCAATGGTGTTAAGGTGGAAGACCCTCCATTTTTAAAAGGTTGTTTGTTAAAAAAGCATACGGATAAATAAGACCATGATTTTGGCTGATTATGTGGTGGTTAGTAGTGTTGCAGTGGATGTGGGCCCTGATTTAGAAAGTGTGACTAATCCATTCTGAGTACAGAGCAGTTATCCTGACTCGACATTTTCGGTTTTGTGATTTTCAGGCTTTCTGTTTCAGAACAGGTTATGTTAAGCACCTAACTCAACTTTGAGTTAAGTCAGTCCAGATTTCATATATATAAGAAGCGGTTATCAATGAAAAGCAGAAAACAGGACCCAGCTCCGCAACGGGAGGAAATAGGATGTCATAAAGTGTGCATTGCTGGCCAATAGAACTTAAATTCAAAATGTATTAATTACACCATATGGGGATTATAAAAACATACTGAACAAAAAGACATGGACATTTCATATAGCAGAGGCCAGTCAATATACAAGGGGGATTTGAGCAGGAACAAAAGTCACATTCCTAACAATAACATTAAAGAAGTATGTTATTGGGTGTATAAATTAAGAGAGCATAACCCAGCAGGTGATGTAAATGCTCTATGAAGCTCAGTTCCAATATGTTTCTGAAGTTTTTGGAACCTTTCTGCCCACAAAGTCGTGTAATTGCAATAATCAATGGATGTAGAGAAGAAAAAGGCTCCATCAGCGCTTAGACCTTAGTCTGTATTTGTAACCCCATGTCCCACACAGCAGGTAGGGAACCTCTCCTCTCTGCCAAAGGAGAATGACGACGAATGATCAATCTGATGGTCATCTTCACCGATGGTAACAGTTAAACTCAGAGTTTGCCTTCAGTATGAAACTAAAGCGAAACACAAAAATAGCCCTTGTTGTGTTATATGGGTTCATTGAAATCAGGTTTTCCAAAGATTTGCAAAGGACCTAATTATTTAACTCAGGGGTATTAAAACAGAGACACATCAAAAAGGTGCAGGACGACTGCCATCAAGCTCTGAAGGCCCTGTTTTAAACCTTTCCATTGTACTTTTTTTTTTATTTCCTTTAAAATACCAATATCCCAGCTTTGAATAATGACTGACACTAATATTGAAACTAAACAATATCAGCACCAATCATGATTATTTAAACTTTTTTTGTATTTTGAGATGTTAGAAAAGGTTTGATTGATGGATATTGAAACAACGATAGATATAGGAATAACCAGGGACATGAACAGAAAGATACTAGGTGGTGTTAGAGCACCTGCCCTTTTCCCCTCTGGACAAAAAAGTGCCCTGCTAAAATAATTTTTTATTTTTTTTTATTTTGTTAGTCTTTGACCCATAGTACAAGTCTAGATTTTTGTAATTTTGTATCCACGTTGTAGCACCACCTCAATAGAGCCTTATCCTGGTGAATGGATGGCTAACTGTCCGGGTCACTAAACAAGCATATTTACCTTCTTCACCAACAGGTTAGTTTATTGCATAATGTCTTTTTTTATGAAAACTACAGCACACAAGTTACCTTTTCTCTGTTAAGTATATGTTTCAAAAGCAAACATAAGGCCAAGTGATTACAATTAGTAAAAATATAAAATAAATTTAAATTAGTAAAAATAAATTTAATAAAGTTAACCTAACAATAATGGTTTTGGACTGAGGGAGGAAGCTGGGGTACCATTGCAGCTTGCTGTATCCAGAGAAAACCCACACATGCTCATGCAAACTTCATGCAGAAAGACCCTGGGCCAGGTGTCGAACCTGCAACCTTCTTGCTGCAAGGCAGCAGTGCTACCCACTGCATCACTGGGCAGCCTTAATAATATTCTACTCAGTTAAAGTCGTAGGGAAGTGGCCGTTCCAACAGTTGCAGTTTCCGAATTCTCCCGAGTGGTGCCCGACTTTACACGAGTGAATAAAGTGAATGTGATTGGTCGATTATTGGTCGATGTTATGACAGAAGCTTCGCAAGCAAGTTTGGTTTGTGGCCGGTTTGTCGTAAGCATCTTGCTTACCAGTTAGCAACTTAGAAGACACAGGCGTCCATCCCCATAAACACTGGAACTCAAAGGTAAAATAAATAATGATTCTTATTTCAACCGTTGCGTATGTTAGCTGCAACATATGAATCAAGATGCTATACCGAAAAAAATGTGATTGACAGATGACTGTTGATATATGATTGGCCGAATTTAGGTGTACAAGCTGAAGTATAACAACTGGCTTGCATGAAATAACGTAAAAAACAAAAAACAAAAACAAAAACACAGATTTTAAGACAGGATTTCTTTTTTAAATTTATATACATGTTTAAGCCAGAATGATTTGAAATTTAAATTTGACTTCCCAACAACTTTAAAGTGGTGGTACCTTTTCAAATTCTGTGTTTATTGAACGACATCTTGGACTGCAAAAGGGTACTGAAAATATGTACAATTTTCTGAAAATAACTGTATTTGCCCCTAATTTGAGCAGGAAAATATGATGACCTGTCAGGGGATGAAGGTTTTTAACCTTAAAATAAGATTATTACATAGTATGCACTTGAAATAGGATAATAGTATATTTTCTTTTTCACTTTTTAAATGTAAATTTAAATTAATCCTCAAACTGTCATATATACCCACTCCAATCAATAGAAAATAACTTCAATATATTCTGGAATCCTTGGCTTTGCATTAGACTTCTCCTCCATTTCTATGTACGTTGGAAAACTGCCTGAGGAACTTGAGCAAATGACACATATTTATGGAAACATTTATAAAAGCACCCTGAGGTTCTTAGTTAATCATATAAACTCGATCCAGGGGATGGAGACATCGAAATTTCACTACGTCTCCAGAAGAAGAAAAACTTTTGAAGAATGTGATCATCACACATTTAAAGACTTATGATAGCAGTTATATGTAAACTAGAAGAATCTCTGTTGTACAGCGTAATCTGTTCCCTGATAACTTAGAGCAGTAAGTTCAAGTTAATTTATGTTTTTTGTGCTCTAGCCTTCAATTGTGTTCTTTTATTCACATAAATTCTAAATAAACTTAAAAAAAAAAAAACTCTATCTAGTCTATAGTTTGTCAGGTTTGTTAATATTTGGAATCGTTATGTAATTCTGAGTATTTAATTGACACAACTGTGGCATTGGACTGCAGAAGATCATTAAATGTCAGCATCAAACGGTGTTTGGGTGTTGGTGGCTCTATGCTACCTATGTATATGGTTCCCTTTTTTAACAGCACCATCCAACATGTCTGCGCACTCCACTGGGAATAACTGACCCATGGAAGTGTAGTGTTTCTATCAGCTTGCTTTAAGCTCAGATTTTAGAGACAGGCAAATATATACCAATATATGATTTTTGGCTGATATTGGACCGATTTCCGATATCATTATCAGATCCGGAAATTACAAAAAATAAAAAATAAAAAAAAAATAAAATAAATTTTGATTTAATCGGTTTCAGAAGTTTTATAACAAAACAAAAATGTATGATAGAATTAGAAGAAAAAATTAAGTCCATTAGTGATTTGAAGTCATATTGGAGGCCTATTCCAACAGTCTCACATTTGTAGCACAGTACAAGCTTTTTTAAATAAATAAGGACCAAGGACCCCAAATTAACATGCTTTCGTAAATTAACTTTAGAAGCTCACCAAATAAACCCCAAGAAGGAAATGCATTAGCCCAGACATTACATATTTATACTTTACTAAAAATATTGTTTTCGAATAAGAATTAAATTGTAAAACTGAGCGCTACCATAGGTCATTCATCCCTGTTGCCACCAGACTCTACAATGCAACACTACAAGGGAAATAACTTGTGCAATGTATAATGTGTATTTACTATTTAATACCCTGTGCAATAACATGTTTCTTTATATTTGACACCCAGTGCAATAACTATATAAATATGCATCTATATAAATACCCATGTAAACACCCTGTGCAATAATCCTGTATAAAAAAAAGCTGTCATATGTGAACGCACTGTGTGTACTGTATATATCCCATTCATCTTTTTCTTCCTTTAGCACCTTCTCTCTTCTTTTTGACTATTTAGCTGATAAAAACAAGTACATTTCTCCACTGTGAGATCAATTAAGTCAATCATCAAATTAGAGATAGATAATCTTATTGAGTTTGTAGTCTATTTCCTGAATAAAGCCTTACAAAATATGTAATTTATGAATGCCTTTCCTTGTTTTTTTTATTTGCTATACTTTTAGTGTTGTCCTTTGGTTTAGCAGCTAGAATAGACACCCCTTCACATGACATGTTCAGCTGAGACCTGGTGCTGATTGCCTTAGAAAAACAATGCATGAGTGATGGCTCAGAGTGAAGCACTTAACAGTGTGAGATCTTTCACCTTTTATGTGAAACTGCTATACAGTTTGAAGCACAGCTGTATATGAAGTGCTGTAAATGAAAAAAAAAAAAAGATTAGGCTACTTAGATTTTTTTAACCTCTTCTTGAACAATTTCCATAATTAGGCCTTTGAAACCTTTAACCCCCTTACCTTCACGTTTTGTTCCTATCTTCTCACTGATCAAAACAACCTGAAGCCAAATCTGGCTCCTTGCTTTGCAGCAACTCTGCATTTTGCAGCAGGCTAATGAACAACCAACCATCTGCAGCTTGTTTTGACATTTAACGCCTCAGCTCAGAGTAAAGTTATACCATTTAGAGGCGAATTGTAGCTTACCAAAATATTCAAATAAAAATAATTAGTGGGCATTTGTAAAGAAGTTGGACTTACCTATAATAATGACTAAAAACGCGTGTGTAATGTTTATGTGGAGGTGAACCCTTGGTTACCTTCACCTGGTTAAAGGTCGGCCTTTAATCAAACAGACAGTCGGGGTTAATCAAGTCTCTCACCTGAGCGTCCAGATGTTGATCCAGCGGTGCTCAGAAGCTTCGCCTCGCTGCTGCTGATCCAGGAAGGATTTGAAGCTTTATCCAGTGCAGGTGAGAGCGACAGCTGTTACTGTGGCTGGTCGGACCTGATTTTGTTCTGCTCTGGTTTCTACAAGCATTCCTAAGACAGGCGGAGTTACAGGTCTAAACCCGCCCACAGCTGTTACCTTGGAGCCGACTCTGACCTCAGTCACAGCAGCCTGCAGTACAGGAGGTACAGCAGCCTGCAAAACAGGCCAACTGCTCATTAGAAACTGCATTATGTTCTGCAGCTGTGTGCTGAATGCTGTCTCTTTATTTCAAACCTACACATACATCAAATGTAATCATGCATAAAATGCATTTAGTGAAAAAAAAATATGCAGCAGCAATGACAGAGGGCATAAAGTAACAGCAATAAAAAAAATAAATATATGCAAAAGTGATTTGTTGAGATCGAATATTTAATATTGATGCACAGATATGGCCTTTTCTGGCTAATTCCCATTTACTGTTTTCTTAATATTATTGCCTTTAAAATATAAAATAGAAAAACATGTGGTGCATGATAATAAAATAAATGTAATATAAATTAAATGAAGTATTACAAGCTTATACGCAATTAGGAAGCAAAGAAGGGCATTTCCAATCTTTTGGGGGGTTGTTAAATTAAAAATTCTTAATAAATGTTTGTTATCAGCCTTTGTTAATTTCTATCAATAAAAAAAAATCACCTAGTTAAAACTCATCAAGCTGGACTGATTCTGATTTCCTCCTGGTTTGATGTATACAAAAAACTGTATAGGTAAAACCTTAAATAGATAATA